CTTCCTGCACTGGTGCATATAAATGGCATCTTCCAGAACATATGAACACTACAGGAAAGCTTCACCAGAGCTCGACTGTCCAGCCCTGCAGCAGTGCTCCAGGGAAGAGCTTAGGTAAGAGATTCACTATATTCTCACCTTCAAAAACAATGCTTAAAATATTTGATCACAACAACTTATTAAAGGGCGTACAGCTGCAAAGTGCACAGTTTTCAATCTCCACAAATCCTCAGAAATAAATACAACTTTTAATGCTAATGTGATGCTTCTAAAAGTAAGCATTTAATTGCACTCAGGTACATATGACAAACATGAACTAAAAAAATGTCCTTCACCTTGACAGCTCGACTCTATATTCAGATAGGATTTCTTCCATTCAGAGGCTAAAGTGCTTTCGATTATAAATCCCTTTTTGAAAAGGAGCAACAAGCACAAAAATGCAGCATGGCTAAACGTCCTCTGAAAGAGAAAATCATACTGAACTTCTTGTTCTTTCAACATTCAGTCATTTAAAACAAGGTCAAAATCAAAGCTCCAGGTACGTTCCTTCTCATTATTCTAGAGCAATGAACAAAGGGTTTTAAAAGTGGTTTCAGACAAAGTCATTTGTAAAGAAAAAGAACAGCGGTCATCCAGCAGATATTTTTATCCACTCACTCATGGAAAACTAATTCAAGGGTGCCAAATCAGGAGTCCAGTAAAGACTGCTTTACATTAACCACTGAACTGCAGAACTAAACTACTGATGCACACAATTCTATTTAATTGTTATTCTTTTCAGATTCTCAGGGCCTTTAAGGATTTCTGGACATCACCCTAGGATAACATTTTCCTAAGAGACATCTTAAATAATCTGGTGAAAATTTGCAAAAACACCAATTTAACAGTGAGGGAGTTAAATTGAGGTAAGTATTCTCCATCTTGTGTCCTCCAGATCCACAATAGTTTGCACAACTTAGTTTTCTCTTGCCAGCTTTTGTATAACAGGAAGACTGGACCAGACAATACTGGTGTGTGGAGTTTGAAGATAACTTGTCACCCAAGTCTCTGAAGAAACAAAAAATTACATCTATCATTCTACATAAAATGTTACATTTCCTCTAGAATTATTGACCACCCTCCAAAAATGTCACAGCACAATTAAAGGCTATACACACTGTTTGTAAAGGTGTCTTTAGGATAGCTTGGGGAATAATCTATATGAAGTAAAACACTGTCCAAGCTCAGCAGCTCTGAAGGCAATACAACACCTCATCTGAGGGTTAGAAAACAAATTGATACAATATCACTTGTTTTAAACTTTACATATAAAATGCATGCTACTAGCAACATTTCTTTCGATAACTGAAGTAAAAGTCTTTTAATCTACAACATGTACTGAATTTAAAGACAAAGAAGAGTTACAATAAACTTTTGGTGATTTCTGCTGAGGCTTGAAATTCAGTCACTGAACTTTACGAATACCATTTGAACGATATTTGAAATCGCATCCTTTCAGAACGAATGTGACAATGGAATTCTTGCGCATAAAGCATGTATAATGTGTTTTTGCAATCCAGTAAAGATCAGAACAATTAATTCTACAGAGAGAAGAATAAAAGCACTAGGAAAGCACAAGCAGACGACACGTTCCTGATTTTCATGTCAAGAAAGATTTTCTGCCACTGGGGCCAGATGTGCAGCACTTCAGGTGAGATGCCAGCATAAGGCCTCGCTGGTGGTGCTCTGCAGAGGGATGACATGACGAAATCGGAGGTCATCCTCTGCCTCAATACAGCTTGCTAACAAAAGTCTTCTTATTGCTTTGATGTTTTTACAAAACACCTGAGAGCGAGATATTACAACCTGGGGCATGGGAGTTTAAAATGAATAGAGAAAGCATCGTCTGACATGGAGCATCATTCGCAGAGGATTCTTCACTCATTTAAACACATTGTGCTGTCATAATTGTACAGCCTTTTGCTTACCTGTGTTCTGAGCTAATCAGTAACCACAGCATTGTCTAAATAGATCCACTATTCAGTAAGTCACTAGCAACCAAGAGTACAATTTTTAACTTTACTCATATTCTAAACCTTTTCCTACTAATTAAGTAATTTGTATATTTTTATGCTTAACCCATCATTTTCCACACAATGGCATTTTACCCTGCCTTCACGTTGTTGGATCATCCTGCTGCCTGCACACACTCTATACTCCCTGAACTCAGGAAAGCTGCTCTTTAAACCCCAGCATACTGTACACATGGAGACATATTTCCAGAAAGTGGTGTCTTCGAGTGGTAGGAAGCTTTTCCAAGCAGCTCAAGATGATTCCTGCTGCACACTTCAAAATAGAAAAAAGCTGGTCACCGAATGCAGCGATCGCAACCCTGTGAAAGACATCCTGCCAGCAATTAAAATCATTAACTGCAGCAGGATTCTGAAACATGCCATCAGCCACCATCTGGAAAAGTCACATAATAGGCAGATTCTCTCTTTGACCACAGAAACAGGGGTCCAGACAATGTTTCATTAAGTAAAAGCCAGATTAGCTACAGGGAAGTGCTTTCTTAATTAAGAAAATGCATAACCAGCAATGAGATCCTTGGAAACTTTCAATTAGAAACTTGGGTTACATCAGGGAAGCCAGGCTTCAGAGTAAAGACGCCATCTTCAAAATCCTGCAAGACTGTGGAGGCCAATGAACATTTCAGACAAAACTCACAGCCCACTTCAGAAACCAGGGAAACTCAAAGTCGTACCTTAAAAATCTGAATTGCAGACCATTTTGATATCTAAGCAGGCACAATATTCATCTGTAGGCTCGTAAGGTGTTTCACACGAACACTGTGACAAGCGTAAATCAAACAGCCATACATCTATAATTAAATAAAAAAAATATTTCAAGCTTACCATACGGTATCTCAGTATGACATCCTGGAATCAGCGCCAATGTAATCAGGTTTTTACCACAGACGGTTAGGTTAATAACACCATTCTGGGTAATAGGAACATACTGCCTAAAAAACTATGAAACGCTTCAACCACATGGCTGATGTCCAAAAACTCTGAAAAAAAGACACCGTATAAAACAGGGCCTGAAAGAATATCATACCAAGAAATTCTGGGACTTGCAATCCTGAACACAATTTTTTTATTATAAGCAAAGCATTTTGGAAGAAAATGTCTTCAAAGCAAGATCAATGTTGAAATCTTTTCCTAAAATCTTTCTCTATATTTGAGTACCAGTGCAAGCCCAAAGCTGAAACATACCCAATTCTGTGACACTTTTAAAATAAAACAAAATAATCAGATACCTGACTATAATTCGATAAATGTGGGGTTTTACATATGAATTTCGAAAACAAGAAGAAATGTGTGTACTGCAGAAATAATTGTTTTCCTGGTCTTTTTCTATCCCTGTTCCTTGAATAGTACACAAAAGCATCAAAACATTAAGTATACTCTGCACCAGGGGAGTTTACTACTATCAGCTCACTAGACACTGAGCATTACAGTAATGGATTCCTTTTGCTCGCGTTCTTCTTAAATTAATTTGCAAAGCCATCCTTGACATATCTAACTCACTGTAAGCTCTTCAAAGGATTATATTACTTTAACAGATGACAGCTGAAAGCCTTTTCCTGGGAACTCAAGGGGAACATTCTCTCAGAGGCGAAACTTGTTTCTTTCACAAAATCTGCAAGTCAACCTTCTGAGTAATTCTATTCCAAAACACTTTTCATCCCTTTGCATACCAAAATAAAAGGCTACAAGAATGAACCCTGACTGTATTCGCTTTTACTCATTTTGTTCTAATCCCAAACAGAACTTTAAGGAGACGAACGGCTCTGATGGGCGGGGAGGAGTGAGGCTGAAGGAGCTCACCCCACCCCACGGTAACGGAGTTGGCATGCAACAGCTCAACCAAGGGCTCCCCAAACCGCGTGGGTGTGAAATGAAAAATCCCAACACATCTGTTATCAAAGGACAAATCAATCCAGTTTTTCAATTATAGGGATCAATTAGCTTCAGCAGTTAAGAGCCCAGCTGGGACGAAAATCAGTCAAGACAGGGGGCCTTCAAGAACGGGGCAGGTTATAACGCAGAGAGAACCACATTTCATGCATTTATTTTTCATTTCACAACAACTTTAGACATTCCTTAACTACTGTATATCCAACAAACAGCCTTTTCCATTTTGTGATCTAGTGAAGATGTAGTAAGTGCTAATTGGGTGTTAAAGCGAGGTATGTTGATGTTTTAAGTGAAACACTTAAAACATGGAACAGCAATAACGCTGAATAAGAAAGACAGGTAATGATAATGAGAGCCCAACTCATCAGTTTTTTCTTTGTTGTGGGAATCTCTGAGGGTGGACAAGAAAGCATTAAAGCAGGTACAGTATAGTATGGAATCCCTCTGACTGTTTTCGAACCACAGCGCTAAAGTCACTTTGCTTCCCCTCAGCAAAGTGCAGACTTTCATGCTTAAACATGAGATCTCCATCTACCAGGCCTGATGACACTGCAGTGGGGGGATTTATTTCTAAAGCTTCTACGCAAAAACATCTGAATTCATCAGTGCCAATCAAGAACAAAGTTAATTGCAGAAATCGCAAAGATCTACAATTATCTAAACATGTCCTGGGGATGAAAATCCATTGAATAATGAAGGCTTAGACAAATCAGAACACCTTGCTTTGCAGAAAGAGCTGAAATGTGTTACCTGGTAAGACTTTGTTCTTCAAACATCTGTTTCAACTTGAACTGATTGCCCCCAGTGGAGAGCAATTAAGGAATAACAATGCACCTGTATAACATGGCTAAGTCTCGCTCTATATCATCAAAGTTCAAACAAATTCATTCCACTTCTCCTAGTGAAAAGGAACAGGATGCATCTCTTTGTATTTCAAACAGGTGGATTTTCTCCTCTCTGGGAGATTTCCAGTAGGAGACTCAAATCAAATACAGTCTTAGTCCCAGGGATTAATCCCACATAATTTCAAGCAAACACTAATGGTCACAAGCCTTTTAATTACAATAAATAAAACATCAGACTACACAGTATTCAGTAACAGCCCACTTCTGCAGCCCAATGTTACCAATCAGCAAACTTAAAATCAGAATCAAATCAAAAGAAAGAAAAAGAGCTCATAAGAAAATGATTTTTCAAGTGTCTTTGCAACTGTTAATGCTCATTTTAGAGCAGGATGTTCCAGCCTTAACAGAAAGGTACAGGTCCTTTCCTGCAGCACACAGCTGCATTACTTCCTTGAACAGGGAATGCTACCCCAATTTCCCCAGCCCACCCAGCTATAGTATATACAGTAAATGGGTACTGTATCTCTCCGATGGACAAGCATGGGACGAAACTATAGTAGGGATGTCGTGATTAAACATGAACCCTGAATTCAGAAGAGCCTTAAGAATCTGATACTGATATGGTAGGAGTTTGGGCTTTGATTCCATTAGACATATTTGTTATTGCATCATCCTTCTGTAATATAACACTGATAAGAAAAAGAATCTTAAAGGAACATTTTAAAATTGCACTTGATTTGTGCTTATCAGCATTATAGAAAGATACCAAGAGCTAATGGCTTCCATTGGGGATATCTGATAAACTGCAGGCATGGGCTGTGCCTTTATATGGCTGTTAAGCAGACATTAATATTTAGAAGTCTCATGGGGTAAGTGGAGAATGTATTCAATGCATTTCAATAAAACATGACTTCAGAGGACCCACCGGAAAGATGAAAATGGATCTGCATTTGAAATAATTTCACTGGTTACTAATTTCATGCATGTTACTTAGGTGCATAACAGAAGAAGTGTCTAGTCTAAAAGGCGTGATGCAGACAGCTATCCATTTCCGTGATATAATTCAGCCCCTTGCATCTGATCTGTTGACATTCACCTTCAAGTTTAGAAGTCACAGACAAATACCATTTTCATCCTTGCTGACCAAACTCTAGAGTTAACTACTTCATTACACTGAACCTTTTCAGTAGAAAACCATTCCAAGCAACAAACCCATGGCTCAGGACTGACTATAAAACTTACTGGGCTGTCACTCTGAGCTCAGGACCTACTATCCTGCTTAAATAAATCTATTCATACTTCAGTCACAAATTTAACAAGGTACTCTAGCTTTCCTGCCTGCACTTGCGTGTAAAATAATGGAAAAGCTGCTGTACATATTCAGGTATATCTCATAGAAATCTCCTGTTCACCTCGGAAACCCCCCTTTGCTCTAAATTTCTCTCCTGTCCCTGCAAGAAAAGCCTCTGTAAAGTTTCTGCCTTGGCACAACATTTTGCAAGATGGCTCTCTGCTCACGGATTTAAAACCCCTGCTGATCCACAAACACCCTCATGTCAAGATAGCATTGAACCACTTTCTCCAATGAAAGAGACACCAGAGCCCTGTGTGTGCCAGGAAGATATGCATAGGACTTCCCACACTTGAGGAAAAAAAGAGAAACTTGAGCCTAGAAATTCCATCCACAATCAATAATCCGCTTTTCACAGGTGAGGGTTACAGTGATCTGGAACCTAACCTGGATGGACAGGGCACAAGTCAGGGATGACGGAACAATTTCTCTTCCCACTGGAAGGGACACCAATCTATCGCAGGGTCACGGAGAAAGGGACAATTTAGAATAGCTGATCATACTTCGCCTGCAACTCGGAGATAAGAGGAAGCCAGTGCACCCACATGGACACAGACTCCGACCAGATACCCAAGTTAGACAAAGAAATTCAGGATCCTGGATCTGCAAAGCAGCAGTGTTAACCACCTTGCCAAGTCTAGAATTTGTGAATTGGAGGACTGGATTATTAGTCTTCTCTTAAACTGTACACAAATTTAAGAAAGACCTACTGTATCTACATAGTCCTGCAGAACAAACGGTCCAAAAGGCAATGACACTCAGTTTATCATGTCCTAGAAGGTGAACATTTGCTTCAGATGTACCCCCCCAGTATTCAGCATTAACAGGAGATGGAAGTCGAACTTTTCATCTTCCAAATAACTGAAATTAAGAAAAATGTATTTAAAATTCAGGTGCAAAAATATTTGTTCTAAAATATAGCAGCTGATCTACACCTCGGAATACAGCCTAGAATTGAGAGCTTTTAAAGAAAAGAAAAAAGATACCGTTGTGAGTTTCAAATCAACACTTTACTGAATTACAGCACTGCTGTAGACATGTTAATATGAAGAAAAAAATTATTGCCAGGAAGTTCTTCTCTAGTTTTATATCTGGATTATGCATCTGCATTGGTAAGTATCCCCCTCAAAGGCCAAACACAAACTTTTGACAGCAAACAAATGTTAAGGGGTTCAAGCATTCAACCAAATCCCAGAGTGACCTCAGCTTTTCACGTGAGGATTTCTGATTCAAAGCACAGCAGCAAACAAACTGGTTTTAACAATAAACAAAATCTTCTCTAGCAGATTAGACAGCCGCATCCCACATGTGTACACTGTGTAAATATTAGCAACCTGCTTCTGTCTCTACATAAAATATACGATACAAATACTGTTATGCTTGCTTGGAGCTGCAGCACCTGATGCAACTGCTTAGCTGTTGTGTGATTCTTGTTTGTAAAAACAATAAAAAGTGAATACAAATGAATACAAAACAATTCGTAAATAGGCAGAATAGATATGACAACAATAATATACATTATGTAAACAAATAAATTAAGACATTAAGTTATTGATACATTAAGAATTGACGTTACTGAAAAAGGTGGACCCACCATTTTTTAAATACATGAAAATAATGTTTTATGTATATATATATAGTTGCAGACAAATATGCACACCCCTCTTCTCCAAGGTTATTCACTTAAGTATTAAGTGTAATAAAATGCTGTTGCACTACATATATTTGACAACATTCCTACAGCCTTTCACTGACTCATCCTAGCAAGTGGTGGATAAGAGTATTAGTGAATAAACTAACTTAAGACTCAGGGTGTGAATACTTCTGCAACTCTATAGAAGTCTAGGTAAAAAAAAATAAAAAGACAGTCCCATTCTTGTTAGCTTTTTTTATGTAAATGAAAATACATAGAATAAAGAAAACGAGCATCAGCATCTTCCTGTTTGACGGTTCCATGAACCCCCAGGAGCTCAGACTGTCCTCAGGGCCCAGGTGTGAAAGGATAGCCTCACCCCCAGTGAAGAACAGGGCATGATAAGTCCAGGAACGCGAGAGAGGGAGAGTCATGCTATTCCGGAGAGCATGGAAAAAAATGTAGCAATGCCCAATGTCCTGTATTTTTTCCTCCACATTACAGACTGGGGGAGGGAGGGATGAGGTACCATGAACCGTTTTCGGCATTCCCCTCTTCTTCAAACAACCATCATCACATTTCCCCAGCTGTACATGGTCACTGGGCAGCTGCAGGATCAAGAGTGAAACAGCACTGCCTTGTGGCCCCCTGCCCCTGCCACGTTGCTCTGCTGGGATGTCCATAACAGTTAAGGAGTGGGTACAAACCAGGAAATCCACAAACACAAAGGCCACACGAGCCAGGAGGTGGGAAAGTCCAAGGCTTGAGGTATTGGAAACAGAAGATTCCAGAGGTAACAGGGTCTGTACACAAACAAGCCTATAGCTGGGGATCAAGGAAGAAGGCAACACAAAAAAAAGTCTTTTTTTTTTTTAAGAAAAGGGCTGGTGCCAGTACCTGTCCACTGTGGTTAAGAGCAAACCATTCACACAGATCAGAGATGGGGGCAGAGGTTATCGGACGGGTAGTGAGGGAGAGTAATGATCATGTCCATTTTAATTCACTACCTTTCCGTGGTTGAGTGTGTTAGCAAGAGCGTAAAAACAACCCAACTAATTTTCTCCAAACTGAGATCCGCAACCTTTCCGGGGGTACAGCTCAGATGGGACTCCAAGAGACTAAAGGAATTTCCAGCAAGGCATAATTATATGGCTTTCTTGTTGAGTGTCCATGGCATGTCCTACTGGGAAAAACTCTCAGGCATTTCTTCTTTTAAACCCCATGAGAGAAGAGACCTTTGGGCATGATCCATAAACTTTCCCTTTGTGAGAGGTGGGTGCACATTAATGAAGAAGGAGTTTTGCACAACCATGTGTCATCTACACTGAACCTAGTCCACAGCAGATATTTCAGTAGGACTAATAGTAGTAGGAGTGCTGAAACCTTAGCCTGCTTTTAAAAATGTATAGAAATGGATATTTCAGCTGCACCATAACCGTTGATGGGTGCCAGACATTCAGGCCTGCTAGCGGAAGTCATAGGAATGGCATTCCTACAGGACCAGAATATTAAGATTCTTTAGAAACAATCCTAGAAAATTCAGAAAAAAGCACTGAATCACAGAAAGGCAGGAAAGTACAGTCATGTTTCAAACCACATTTTTATCAGCTCCATCAAGTGCATTCATATGAAAAAAACAAGATGGGAAAAATCCAACATGACCCAAACCACTAGATGCTCTTTCAGAATGCATAGTTTTTCAGGGCACATCATTCATGGTAGTTTACCAGGTCGGAAGATCTTAAATATGTACTCGTACAGTATATCAATATGATAAACTCATCTCCAACATCCTGGTAAATGATGGCTTATATCTTATAGCTGATATGTAATTGGGCTGACACTGCAATCAGATTTTGTTTTATACGTGTACCTTAAGGGGCCTGTCTGTAGCTCAGACCTGAAAGGGAATAACTCTCTAGCTAACAGGAAAGCAAAAAAAATCAACAAAAAAGTGCACACGAAATATTCTAAAACATCAACCTTTTCCTCCCCCTTTCTGTCACCTGAGTGCCCCTATACTCTCACACCCATGCTCCCCAAGGTCTCCAGGACCAAAGAAATGGAGGAAACCGGTACAATTCTGGTTCCAAATGTTTTCGGTCTCACCTGCTTGGAGCCAAAATGGCGGGCACTTGCTACAGTTTCCTAGTCTGCCCCTTCAGTTACAAGGACACAATCCCCAGTGCGTTGCTCCCGTTTCCTGGTGCCTGTGTGTAAGTCAGTCAGGAGCACCCTTCCCTGCCTTGCCCCGCTCCACACACACACGTGCACGCGCACACGCAGGGGCGGGGCTACGCCAGCGAGTAGATCGCATTGACGGGAGAGGTGGCCTCTGAGCTCTCATTGCCTTCCGTCTCATCCTTGTCCTTCTTGACGGTGTACTGGCCAATGAAGGAGCCGTCCTCGTTGAACTGGCCATCCCCTCCCTCCCCATAGTCCACCAGGCTGTCGTCGCTCTCTTGCATCTTGACCATCCCGTCCAGCGATGTCTGGCTGCCCTGCAGGGGTTTGTTGTCCTCATCACTGGGGCACGGCAAAGAGGGAAGAGAGTTAGTGCCGCGCTTTCCCGTTATCACCTCCTGCGTCTCTCCTCTCTGCCTGCTGCCTCGTGTCTCACTCGCTTACAAGCTGCCTGATAACGAGCTCTGCCTGAGACGAGGCTTCATGAACAGCTTACACTTTCACTTGTACAGTACGTTTACAGCATTAGAAGAATTACTTAAGACTGAAATCAAGGCTAAAATCACTCAGGTGCAAAATATCAGCTAGAATGAAGTATTGTTTTCGAGCTGATTTATATTCACAGCATAAGATTTTTTTAAATATCAAGGTTAGATGGCTGAAGCTACTTTTACTATTGAAAAATTAATAAAAACACCAAATGAAACTTGTTTTTTGAGAAACTAGACAGGATCTATGAAATAAACTGCCAAACCAGTTAACAAATCCAATTTTTTAAAAGTTCTCCCTGCATCATATCAAAGCTGCAGTACCTCAGAGTTTGTACTTATGATATTGACCCTAAGATACGTCATGACGACAGAAGTACGATGTCTAATGGGAGAGTCAAAGTTAAAGCTATTATTCCAGCTAGACAGATGGAAAATTGTGACCATCTACTGTACCTCTCAGCATCTTCTTCCATTACACAATCCCACACACATGCCGGACCTCCCCATATCGATACCTTCTGACAGGGGTGCTGGTTCATACATGCTGCCTGATAAAATTAGCCACTGCTGTACTGCTATATTACAGTGTATCAGGGGCTATAATAGCTACATAAAACTATAATAGGCATAATAGCTACTGCTGTTGACTGGTCTCAGACTTTCAACAGCAAGCTTATAAATTTTCCTTATAACCAAATGTTACCCCATTAAAAAGACCATTACTTTCAGCACCGCTTCCTATCTTAGCTGCATTTAGGTAAGATAATCAGTTGGCCCCAATTTTTTGGCCAGCACTACATTCCTATGGATTCATATCAAGCAAGCACAAACTCAAACTGAAAACTAGTTTGCGAACAGTATTGCAAGTTAAAGGCTGAAAGAGGCACGAAAGGCCAACAACTGAAGTTCAGAAGACATAGTTATGGTATATTTTGGTGTACAATTAGAAATGTACCAAATAATGAAATTAGTATGGGCTGCGATGTAGCATCAGAACCTCGCACACCAGCAGAGAAGTTAGAAATTGGGAGTTAACTCAACAGATAGGTGAAACATTGGCATTCTGCATGCTGTGTTAGGGGTCCACTCGGGAATCAGGCAACGGAGATCAGCGGGCTAGAAAAAAACAGAGGCAAAAGCTGGCCCCTGTGGGACCTCCTACCCGCTCATCAACAAAAAACACACCTCCCTTTCACCAAAGCATTTTTGCATCAGAAACATCACATATGGAACAAGAAGACATGAAGAGGTAAACAGATGAGTGCAAACAGGAACTGGAAATGGGACGAACATATTTGTTTTAATCGATTAATCTGTTCATGGGGATGGTTTGTTGTGTAAATCTGTTAATCACCAATTATCCTCTTTATACGTACCGTTTATTATAGGGAAGAGTGGAAGCACGGTTTATCCTAAAACATGCAGTGAAATAACAACCTTTATTACCTGGCGCCCCTGTTCTCAAGTGAGGCAGAAATAGTTTACCAAACTCCAAACCTGAGCATTTTACATCTGTCCAAAGGATTTCTTAAAGAGGACTGTCCATTTTAGTGGTGTCCCAGACAACTCTGGTGTTCAATTATACAGAGTCTTCAGGTAAACCCTGTCAATTACATTAATTATATTGGAAGGAATCAGACTCTGGTATGGTGTATATTAAACTCAAATAGGTGAGGTTAGACTAACCAATGGTTTCTTGTCTCTCATACTGCAAGAAGTATGGCTTACGATTAATGGATTAATCGATTAAAACCCCTGAGTAAAACCAAATTAACTGAAAATTCAAGATGAATGTGCAGCTTGGGGTTAAGCTCCAAGTGGAGTCATGGTTATGAGGCTGTTACGTGCTGCTCTTTTCATACCTTTCGAGAGACCTTCATCGGCCCAACGGAGAAAGAAAAGAGCAAAACAACAAAAGAAACAGAAAGAGAGAGAAATGGAGAAACGAAAGGTTGAGGAAGGGCTTAAGGAATCTGCAGAACTCTTAACAGTTTTTTGATTGTATGACATCAGTGACATTGCAATGGCTTGATGCTGCCATTAAAAAATGAAGACTCTGATGATTCTGTGAGTTTGTCAGAGTTAGTAACGTCACAGTGAGACAAACTGGTACTGAACAATTTCTGGTAGTGTGGATCTACATGGGAACCTGTAGAAAATGTAACTCTTTAAATGTACAGAAATGGTGAAACACATTGAACCAAAACAATTACTCCACGACTGACGAATATGGGACAATTCAGAAAAAAGTCAATTATTCGCGAACACTGCTTGACAATTTAACAAAGACTATTTAGACAAGGAGTGTCCAACGCTGATCCCGAGGAACCACAATACAAGATCTTTTACAGGTCATCTGTAACTTGTCAATTTCTAAGCAGTTGGAACAATTTTGGTTTTTCACTGCTGAAGCAGGTGCTTTTGTTCAATCAAGTGGTTTAGGAATGATGTGAAATTAAGTTTGCCATTCCTGACTTAATTGATCACAGCTCACACATGCTCCTTCAAGTCCTTATAAATTGATGATGGAAGGGTGACCTATAGAACCTGATGGACTGGGGCTCACTGGGACCAAGGCTGACCACTCCTCATTGAAATCCAAGTCAAAGCACTTTACAGAGAGGCACATAGCACTTCCATTTATATGAACTTGTGCTGTAAGATGCAGGGCCCTAGATGAGTCTCCTGTACACATGCATTATACAGGAAAATAACGGACAATAGACGTGAACAAATACTCAGCCATTAATTGAACGATATGATGACTGTGGATGCACACCTACTAAAAACATGCATGCAGAACAATATTCCATGGCACAAAAAATAATTTACTACATATGACGCACAGGGTTTGATTTTAGTTATTTTAACACAATGGTGTCCACTGTCTCACTACAGCCCTTTCTACTGTTCACCAAAGGTGTCAAACACAGCTAGTATAACATTGCTTTTCAAGGTCTTATCTACAGTAAATAAAACCCCAAGTTTAGCCAACAGTATAGCTTGGACTATATCATTCAGAAGACAACTTCAAAATGAGCTAAAGCTAGGAAAAAAGGAAGCAATTTAACTAGCAGATTGGCTAAAACAAACACTTCATCATAACAATTCCTAACATGAATCTTGTAAGACAATCTGTAAGACAGAAATTGTATCTTGACTTGAGTAAAAAGCAAAATAGTCTCCAAAACTTAACAAGATTGTACTTTGCATAAGTAATGCAGCAAAATAACTTTCTGAACCAGCTATAGAATTCCAGAACTTTTCCAGTCTTAGACCAGGGATACACCAGTGTGTTGACATTATTTCTAGCTCTTGAAAGCACCTGAAAATCTGAAAGAAACTGGACATTTAGTCCTATTAAGAAAAGAAGAGTTGGATTTTAGGTGTCAAGAGATGACCTGGTAATAAATCCTGCAGACACACTGGCCCCCTCAAGGGCTGGAGTTCTTAATATTTTACAGGCACTCTTAAATTAGCCATCAATTAAGACCAAAAAGCAATAGTGATTCTGCTTATTACACTGAAAGTTCAATTGACTGATCAGAGATGTAATGACCTGAACTGATCTGTCCCCTGTAGAGAAAAAAAGTCTAGATTTTCCTAAAACCCTCTAGAGTTCAAAGTTAGCCAAGTTGGCCTACGTCTGACACCCTTGCTGAAGAGTCATTTTCCAATCCTTTTCAGAGCAGTTACGGAGATGGCCTGCACTGACAAGCCTTGGCTGTCCCTAGAATCCCTTGATGGGAAACATCCTTCGCCTCCTGAGAAACATGCATTTCAGAAACCCAAGTACCTGTTCTCATTCCTTACACATAAGCCGCCATTCAGGGGAAAGAAAAGGGATAGCAATGATCAGATAGAAGGACATGGAAGAGGAAACCCCTGCAGGAGAATGTACATCAGTGTTCACAGCATGTATTTAAAACAATCTGACATATTTTACAATGTGTGCTCCACAAATATTAAATTCAAATATTCTCTCACATATACTCTGCAAATATTCTTCAAGCACCTCCAGAAATATTTTATTTAATTGTTACAATCTTTAGAAAAGTGTGCAGCTCAGGGATGTTTGTAGAACAAACTACATATTAATTGAAAGGTAAACAGTAATTTGATATTTTGTATGCACTCTTTATCTTATTGAATGTGTCTATACAGTCCAGTATTTCAGGAGTGAAAAATCACCCACTAATAACATTTTGATTTGCAGCCAAAGAAGTGTAAAAAAGGCTATTGGCACAACACACATGCATAAAGAGTACAGTAAATGCCCTTTTATGCATGACTGCTTTGAGAATTACATTGCCATTGTTGGTTAATGACATACAGTACAGGTCTTTGTACTACATTGTAGCTTTGTGAAATTAAAGTTTAATACTCTTTCCTTTGAAGTACTGAAAAGCATCTTAGCATCTTTAAAATTCTCACTGATATTTTCACAGCTTGGTTGCTTACAGAAAATACAAGTATGTATTTTTATTGTGTGTTTTTTGTTGTGCTGTAATGTGGAACTATTTGGTAGCAAGGTGCATTTTGTACAGTGGTGCTCTTAGGACAGCAGAGGAGAGTAAGGTGGAGCAGGGGGCAGGCCCTCGAGGACCACAGCCACTCATCCAGGGAGACAGGACAAAAGACCCCCCTTGTGATGTCACGTGATGCCCACTTTATCCGATTCACTGTGGGCAGCAGTTCCTGCCAATCAAACTAGGGATTTATGAATGTTAAGGGTGGCTTCTGAGATTTGTAAATGAGAACTATTTCTTCATTACAGATGAAAACGTTGACGGGATTGAACTGAAACAGGAAAATTCTGCAGTGGGAAAGGCAATGAATTAAATGAAAAAAATAAAAATGATGTTTCCATAGTCAGCTTCCAAGATACTATAGATAATTATAATGATTTCAGAAAAACATATTTGGTCATTTTCGAGTCTGGACAACCCACAAAATAAAGGTTAAATCTACTGAAAGCACATTCAAAACTCCTACTCAACTTACAAAATGTATTCATACTTAAATCATGACTGAATCCAATTCTAAAACCTACCGATAATCAAATGATCCATCCTGATCTTTCTGATCCACTGGATCTAATGGAAGATCCTTCTTGTCCCGCACTGAAAGGAAGTGAAACAGATCTAAGAAAAAAAATGAACTTGAAGTGTTTCTCTATTAAACACTTATCACATTTTAAAATGTATTATTCTGCTGCATTCAAGTAAAAAAATAAAGACAAACAGCCAATTGAAAACTGCTGGAGCTAAATACAGTCAGTAATAACCCTGTTTCAAAACAAAAGATAAAAAACATGGTTTCCCTGGGTTCCTGATTCCAGTGGGCTGTACCTGGGTACTTGCCCCCGCGACTCCTCTTGATGAAGCACACGATGAGCAGGATCAGCACCAGCAGAGCGATGGCACACATCAGTCCAATGAACCAGCCCTGTGTGGCAATGTCCACCTGGTCCTTGGTGTAGGCTGTCAACACCGAGAGAGGGCGAGAGGTAGAGACAGGGACAAGGAATAAGCAAGGGAGGCAAGTGGCGAGAGGAAGAGTGAAGGACGCCGTTTCTGAAGCTTGGACGCTCAACCAAGCTTCAAAAAAACATCCAAGCCTCCTTCTTCTCCTGCCCACATTGTTTCAAACAACTTGCAGCGTTTCTCCAGGAAAAAAAAAGATGTCATGATGGCAGATTTCTGAATACCCGAAGAAAAGAACTGCAACATCACGACTAGACTATATTTAACACCTGGACACGAAGAGCACACATGTACTGTACAGTATATTCTCTTTCCAACTCTTGTACAAGACATGATGTTAGTGTAACATTTTTGCAATTTCTTATAAAAGCAGATTGTCAGAGATAAGGTCTCTTTCTCGAAACTCCCAACTAGCTGACATCTGAACCAGATGGACTTTTACACATTTACAGTCTGTGCCTTTGGCTTTCCAGGCTGCACTGTTTTCCTTTCCTTGGCCTGTGATGTCCTTCTAGGACAGACACATTCTTTCTTCATTACTTATAATGGAACTGGCCATGTAGAAACCTCTTCAGTTATCTGATACCATCAAACAGTGGCCTGTATCTCAGGCCTGGCGTTGGAGAGAACCATCTTTTTCTCCTGAAGATCCCTGTGGAAATGTCCCTACTTTAAATGTCCCAATTTCAAGGTTTTTTTTTTTGGATGGATATCCATCCTTTATCCTTAGAGGCCAGTGGCGACCTTAAGCCTAATCCCGCAAGCACAAGGCTGGCGTACACACACGCATTCAGCCTCACGGATATGGGAGGGCCCAAAACTGGAGAACACGTTTTAGGATTGTGGGAGGAAGCAAAAGTACCCAGAGAAAAATTGACGTGAATATGGAAACTCCATACTGATGACAGAGCCACATTCAAACGCATAACTACAGTGTTGTAGAACAACTGTGCCACTCACAGCGCCACCCAACACCTCACTTTCAACTTATTCAAAAAACAAATGAAAGTGACCGATTTGGCTACCGAGAATCCAGTAAAAGAATCACTTAGTGCACATGACCTTGAAATCCTTGCAGTCTATCAGAAACAAACAACACAACACTTGGAGCCCATGACCGTAAGATGAATAAGGAAAGTACTAACAAAACAAAAGCCCCATCTTAACTTGAACCAGCAAGAACCAAAAATCCCTACCTTAAAAGACTGTCCTTCAGATTAATCATCATAAGAATGTTGCAAGTGACCTTTCAGTTGTGCATAAGCTCTTGGGACAGAAACTGGGCACAAATCATTGTTGGCAGGAGCTGCAGGGCTCACGGATTCGTCCGTGGATGTGCAGAGGATAGAGGGGTGACGGCGCACCCCCCCACCCCATCCCAGCCTGCCTCACCTGCACTGGTTTCAAAGGTGACTGTCTTGCTGCTGACCGTTTCGTACTCTCGGGAGTACACCCGCAGCTCATACTTGGCCCCCTCAGTCAGCCCTGCCAGCTTGACCGGGGTCTGGTGATTGACCGTCACGCTTTTCCTCGTCCCGTTACCTGGGAGACAAAAGATGGCCATCAAAGGGGGGCGTCGTGTGATGCACTATGCAGGCGGACAAGCGGGTGGGCAGCCTGAGTTGTGGAAATGGTTTGAAAGCAAGGAGAGCTATCCTCTTCTGCCTTAAGGAGCACAGACCACTGAGATAGCAAGGTAGCATTTTCATTCTTGAAAAGTCTCCACCAAGGTTACAATTTTTTGAATGAGGCAGTAGATCATGAGTCACCCTGAGGCCTTTACACTTTTTTTTATCCAGTGTCATAATTCTCAGCAGAAACCACTGGGACATTGTCCAGAGAATAATATGGTAAATTATTTTTAAAACTAATGTCTAAGATAAAGCTTTTACTTTGTTTCACCTGTGAATTTTTCCTTGCCACTCTGCCAAGAGCCTCACTTGCAGGAAGGTCATGGAAGGTACATTGTCTTCCAGATTCTGTTACTCCCAACTTTCCATTACACATTTGGTCTTGTTATTTTTTTCTATATAAATGTGATATTGTCTATCCACACTCCCATCCAGGTGTTTAAAGGTCACCTTACCTTTAAGGAAGTGAATATTTTGAGATAACTATAAAAGACTTCAGGAGAAATCCTGCAACACTTACAGTAGACTGTTTTAATGACTAATCATAATGGAACAAAAACCAGACAAGTGAACTAAAACACACTACAGAAGCAGATATGTCTCAGGTCTTCTGCTGAGAATCAAGGCTTCCTTAGAATGCAGGAGGGGCCACAAAGAGGATATTATGCCTCCTCGTCTTGTGCACTTTCTCTGCAAAACCCACACAAAAGCCTTTGCCCAGTGCAATGGATTGTACATAGACAGGTGGGGAGCCACCATTCTGGTGGTCCAAACTGGCATGTCAGAGATGTCATCAGCTCTGTTTGTGATGTCATCTGATAATGAGTGTGTTCAGTCTGAAAATCCATGGGCATGCAAGCAAGTGATGTCATCCTTCACCATGCAGCCAGCAAGTTACTGTAAGTGAACAGCCCATAGAAAAGCACTGGTTACAAAGACTGGCTTCCTAGTTTTTGGAATTCATGGTGGGTTGATAAAGCAATGTAGCCCAATCTTTTGGGTTTTATTTTTTTACAAGCAAAACAGAACTTGGAGCAAGTGTGGTAAAAAGGTACAGAGAATCGCATCCTCTTTGTCTCTTTGAGCAACCAACAAGCTTGGTACCAAATGGTTTTCAGAAACACTGCAGACGATAACATAGTACAGCATAGTCTTCTTGTGTCGGCACTATAGAAAAGCGCCGAAGGAAATATTCCAAAAACTGCCATGTTGTGGCAGGCTGACGCCACATCCCGTTTGCGAAGCACAATGACATCAGCCTGTTGAACAACCTCCCTAACGAAGCAGACAGCTGCCATGCAACATGCAGCTTCCAACAAGTCAGCAGAAAAAACAGAGGATGTCCGCATCACTTGCACTTCAGGTTGGCTCTTTCGAACTTCACTCTTCTCTTCTGCGGGCCCAGCACCAAAGCAGGACAGCTTTCAGAGCACGCTGCTCTAGGACAAACCTGTCTAGTTTTTCCTCTCTCAAACCTGAGCCCTTTTTCAATCCCCAAATCAGGATTAGCTGAAGAACATTTTATTTTTGCCTACCACTTTTCATTGGTGCCTGGATGTTTTTTTTTAAGGCTTGTTTTTAGAAAGCTTTATACGCCTTGAGCCAGCACACTATTATTCACACATATAAACTAAATCCTAAATCTCAGAACTTAAACTTCATCGAATGCCGGTTGCTGCTACACTTCAAATAGCAAATTCCTGAGGAAGCCACCCTGAAGGAGGATAATGACAGAGATTCTCCCAGCTGATAACCGCAGAAAAAATAAGGTAAAAACAAAAAATAATACGACATCAGGGCTAGAGTACACTGCATTGGCAGAGCAAGTTTCGCCAAGCGATATTTACTATTGTCAAGGTAGTTTGTCTAATATTTTCTGCTGTGCTAAATCAGAATTGATAATTAGCGACAAGATTTTTATTGATTCCTACAGTCATTATATAATACAGCCTAGGCAGCAGATGTAAGCAGGTAGTACAGGGGATAGTGTACGAAAGGCTTAAGGCCCAATTGAAAACCGTATTTCCCTCTACTGCATTATGTCTCTGCTTCTGAATGTAGTTTTACTATAATTCCCTGATAATAGAAGGTAAACAAAATCTATAGAAGTTCTTTCTGCCTCTGCCCAGCTTGCTACATAAAATTACAAGCCTGTCAGCTCGGAGAGCAGGGACTGTGTTGCGGATCTGAAGACTCAAATAACTTGCCACATGGGAAAGCACAACAGTAAAAGTCCTAGACTGATCATTTTTAAAGCACAAAGTAAAAATGCCAAAAAAATGAAATGAAAACATTACATTTAGCGTTCCATGCAAGTTATTTCCAGATCATTTTTTTGTCCTTCCTCTTAGCGAACAGCAGGTGCAAAATGTTGGAACAGTGCTGGGCACAGCTTCTCTGTCTCTGCCTTTCTGCTAATGTTCCTCTCCAGGGGGGAGCTGTCAGGGCTGTCTCCGAAACCAAAATGCAAGGACTGAAATATCTTGCGCCTCCCAGGCAGACATTAAAAACTCACTGGAACAGTTCCACAGAAACCAATGTATTTGATTGCCCAAATACTTATGCCTACATCTGCATGCAAATGAAACATGAAATCTCACAAAATTCTATGCCTCTTGTTTTTACATATTAACATGCAGTCAAGATGTTCAGCCGATACAGAATCGTCACAGCCTGACTGAGAACATTAGGGCAGTGCAGCTGTGCTGTGACAGAGCTCTGGTTATCTTATCCTTCACTTCGGCTGGGAGCTCCTGCCACTGCTAAGGGTAAAGCAGCCCAAGGGATTGTTAATGGGATATTGGTTTCAACTGGATTTACAATTACTTGGTTCCCAGTATTAGGCACATTTACCTGCCTCTCTCTTCATCAGAATATGTGAAGATGTAAAAGGCCTTGCTTTGTATTAAACAGGAATTTGACTAAGTATTAAGTAACAGTATTAAATTCTAATAAAATATTTAACAATGCTTATGAGACAATGACCTATTTATCTGAACGACAGTAAAAAATCCAGATTAGTTTAGCAATTGGTTTTGGCTCTCCCACACAGCTCCCTTTTTTAAACTATTTGCATTTAACACCACCCTAAGCCCCCCCGGCCCTCTCTGTCGCCCCATGAAGGACGTCCCCTCCAGTGACTGCTCGTTCCTTACTGTCAATGAACTCGATCACAAACGCGGTGCTGTCGGGAGGGAAGTTGTGCTCCCAGCTGACGTTAGCATAGTTACTGTTAGGTTCGACTGTCAAATTCCAGATGCGCCGTCCAGGAGCAACTACACGGAATAAGTCAAAGGGGAGTAGGGTTAAGGACAACAAAGAAACACAAACAAAAAACACCAACACCCACAGAATTATTCACATACATACGAAAGCCACGTATACTTATTTTTTGTCAAATGTGAAATTTCTGAGCAAGCCTTCGCAGGCCATGTCTTGGTCCTTTTTTTTTTAATTGGACAGTCTGATCTACCCCGTCTTCAGATGACAGCAGTTTCAGTTAAAAACTAGACTGGCAAGAGCAAAGGTTTTTGTAACACAAACAAGACTTTCAATCAGGGATGTGAATATATTAATATTATCTACTCTGCCATCAAAGTGGTCTTTTTATTCACTTCTGAGGCAAAGGCACCGGAGAAAATGCCAACTGGTTATTGTCTTGAATGTAAAATAGCTTCATTTTCTAACCGCTTCATCCAATTTAGGGTTGCTGGAGCCTGTCCTGGCAACCAAGGGGCACAATGCTGGAATAGTTATTAAATACCAGTATGATGATAATAAAAGGAGAAGTCAAAAGCAGGCCAACTAGACCCACCATTACGTTCAGTCAGAGCACACTGACCGCTAAACTTGCAGGGATATATTTTATGGTTTTTGGGGGGTCCAACTAAATGATGTCTGAGACCCCTGGCTGAAAACACTTGCTTCATAGTCCATTAAGTAAAAAGTATGGAAAGCAAGTATAAGGTTGTCAGTCAGGACATAATTGAGGAACCATGTGAAAAAAAACTGCCGTTAAGTGCATACGCTTCACAGCTGCGACACCAGAGAGATGATTTTGGACTGTGCCTCACTGAGGTTCTTGAGGGAGCCCATTTTAACAAGTCCAGACGGAAGAGTGAGAAAACTCCCTGCTGAGAGGAGAGGTGTGATATACCCAACACTGGCCGATCCGGCACTGGCCTGGTGGCGGCTACTGTGGAAACGACAGTAGTGGGTGCCGCAGTGGGAGCGGTCACGGTGGTAGTTTCTGGGGTAGCAGATATTGAGGTGGTAGGAGTAGCAGCAGTGGGGGTAGGAACCAAGTCCGCAGGGGACGGAGTCGGGGTTACAACTACAGCAGGAGGGAGAGAAATAATATTAACAGGAAGAACAAAAAACAACCACAACAAGGACGTTTCTGACTGAATCCCAAACCTTTTTCCGAACACTATTCCCGAAACCTTCTTCTCCTGAAAAATATTATCCTGGCTTCAACGTGAGACGTTTAAAAAAAAAAACAATAATATTGGACATAATGGAAGAAAATAAGGTTAGTGCCGCTTTGAAGAAGAAGGCTTTTGGAATATTTGCATCTCTGAAAAAATAAAACCGCTGCTTGGAGCTGAAGTTGGGCATTCCTGAAATCTGACAACAGAAACGCAGATGGAGTGCGAGTGCGTCAGTGAAGGGGGGGAGGCTGCAATCTTCAATCAGTCTAACAGAGAAGCTCTGCATGGCCAGTAATGCAGTGTCGCCCCCAAGTGGCCAGCTGTATGCATCAATGTTCCATTTAGTGACTGGTGAGCATGCAATATTGTTTTTGGTTTAACTATAAGTCTTATGAAAAGTGAAGGTAAGACGTGCGATCATTTCTGTTATTATACTGTACGTTAATTATGTTCACTGCAGTTGTACACTTTTTATTCTAACAGGCAAGGTAATAAACCATTTTACTGACATGCATACTATAATTGTCCTTAATTGTAATGGTATGTTAGAGGACAATGCTCTGGTGGTATCTTGCATAACGTTTCATTACAATGTAGAAAAAGAAAATGAACAGCACAGCAAGGAAGCTTACAGTTCCAGGTTATCCTGGAACTGGGTACCATGCTTATAGATTTCCCCAACCATGCAGTAGATTGACAAGACGCTTCTTACACACAGCGCCACTGGCATTCATGCTGTTATTGCCAAGAATCAAGCAAGAAACATCAGGTGAGCAAGCCCCCTCCCACAGCACTGAGAGGGCCATGGCCAAGCACGATCTCCAGACCCAAGGAAGGCACAACAAGCTCAGGACAGTTAACACTAACAATCAAACCCAGTGCCACGCCAAACAGCATCCATGTGCCTCAGTGAGCCCTCTCCTTCAGGCCTGGAATAACTCGCAACTGACTGGCATTTCATGGTCTGAACTAGTAGTGTTGTCTGTAAACACAGCCTTATAAATATTCACTTTACTACCAGAAGTACCATGCTGGGAAGATGGCAATAAAGATTTAAAAACCGAAGGAGCAGACAAGCATGCAATCCTACTGTACATCTTTTAAACACAGACATAAGAAAACTACTGTACTGCCAAAACTGCTTTAATCTGGGATTTCTTGCAAGCTTATTAAAAAGTCACAAGCCGCTCTTTAATATCGCACTGCCAAAAGCACAGTGCTTAAGTAATTCCTACTGCAGATACTTTACCTGATTTTGTAACAGATTGGGAATAAACAGTTTTCCTGTGAGGGAGGAGGAAGGTCAATCACTTTGAAATACAGTACCATACAGATTGAGGGAGGCCATTGCTGCTCAAAGACTACCACAGTCCAGCAGCTGTGAAAGGTCACCTTTGAATCATCTGTTTCTTATGGCACAAAATAAACTGACACCTAATTGGAACCTACTGTATTTGCTTAATAGAGCAATTTAGAGATTCTTCAGGATTAAAACAGACTCCTGACTACCTACCAGGACCAAAGGTTTTCTACGTCACTTCTGAGCTAATTGAACATATTAGTATATAACCGATTCATTTAGAAGTATGCATCCCTCAGAAATTACCTGAAACTGAGGCTTAAGAATGACGCCCAGATCCTGATGGAATGTTGTGGTCACTCCAAATGTACACAGCAGTGTATATAACGGTCTGATAATGATTATACTGTATACAGAATTGTCTGATTTCTGCATTAACCCTCAACACATCTGCCAATACCTCATTACACTAAAACAAATGTAAAGCTACACTTCAGTTTTTACAACAGAGATTCTTGTTTCATTGCCTTTTAGACAATACTGGCTTGCTGGCTCCACACCGTGTTTTGATAAATGATGTTGCTTCACCCAATGAAAGATCTTCACCTTACACCTTTTGTCAACTGTTTATTACAGGCAGATCATGCATCACCTCTCAAACGCACTACAGGATGTGGGGATTTTCTCCCCTCTCAGTTGAAATATCAATAGAATTGTGTGTGTAGATGCGCTGGTGAGGAGTGCATAGCCATGTGCAAGTGCATGCTGGGAAGTGCCAACAAAACAGTAAAGTGGGGATATGAGGGAGACCTCAGGGACAGAAAGTTAAAAAACAGATAGTAAAAGGTAGATCAATCTAACCTGGAGAGTTTGGGGTTATTCACACCTTACTAATCTTATACATGACACAACAATGGATTTCTTGCTAAACTGTGCAACACTAAAACTGAAATACTTACAGCAAGTATTTACATGCTGTGTGAATAATGTCACATTAATTTTACTCTTCTAAAAAAGACCATTTGTATGACCAACAGTAAGTTTAAAACAGAATATAACATAAGATCACTTTATAAGCCATATACAATTTCTTGCATTAGGAATTTGTCTTTTCGCATACACCAGATTCTTCTCCATGAGACACAGACAGGGAGAGAAGAATCTTGGGGTCAGAGCAAAGGGTCAGCTACTGTACAGCGTCCCTGGAAGGGCCTTGCTCAGGGGCCCAATGGAGTAGGATTCCTCTGCTGGCCATGGGATTTGAACCGGCAACCTTCAGGCCACAGGTACAGATCCTTAGGCACAGTGCCACCACTTCGCCCCACGGTGAAATATTTTAGTTCATCAACCTGTGTTCACATTGAGAATTAAAACCATTTTAGAAAATTGTATTTTTATGTTTTGGGGACTCCAATAAGAATCAGTAGTCCATTAGTTAAATTTGCATCTCCAGTCACTATGAATAGAAAGCTATACACAGTTGCTACAAAGTGGGAATCTGCAAAATTGTCAAACAAGAAACATTTGAAATCAAGCTGATTCAGCAAAATGTGCTTTTCTTTCATTTAGAATTCCTCGTCCATGATCAGCACTTTCACAACACTTCAAGAGAAATTAAATAAAGCTCATCCAAGGGTAAGAAGAGGTGCTGTCCCTGAGGCCACAGACAGACAGACATAAAAGCATCAGAGATGCACAAAGACACACAAATAGGCAGTGCAGTTCTGTTAGTGGACCTGCCTTGTACACAGCCTCCTCAAGCACTGAGAGACCCCCAACAGGAGAACAATGATTAATTCATAGACAGACAGACTTATTTTGAGATCGACAAAAACAAGCTAACAGAATTAGCAAAAACATAACTGTACCCTCTTATATGTGGCAGCAAATTAATTTTGATCATTTAACTGGGCTGCGTCAATGAATGTTGAGACACACCACAGTATATTTTTTCCTGCTCTTCAACAAAAAGCCATGAATGTTTAGGTGCAGTGTTGAGGTCATTCACTACGCTTTGTGTTCAGCTCCAATATGTTTTTTTCAGCTTGCAATACAGACCCTATGAGTCTGATATGTTAGACCATCACTTAGCTTTCACTTGTCCAAACGAATGACTGGGTATCACTGAGATAACGACTGTTTAAGAAACCAGGCTCACTGGTCTAAATACAATTAAACTGTTGGTCAAACTGTGATTTTAGGGCGCTCTGCCCTGCACGTGCTAGATACTCAGAAGCCTTTCATTAGCATGTGTGTGTTTCACTGCACCTTATTGGAGAGTGTCCTAGAGAACAGTGGAGGCGGCTACACAGGCCAGGAACTTTCACCAACATCACTGCACTGATAGAGGAGATAGACAGACAGACAGACAGACAGACAGATAGACTGCCAATTTCCCCATTACCTATGCCGGCCTGAACAGTACCTGTGATGGCAAAGTCTTCTGTCAACAGCACAGGGGAGTTAAGAGAGGAAGACGACAGGAGAGAAAGAAGATGAGAAAAAAAGACAGACAAAGTCTAGCAGAGCTGAGAGAGACAGATATGGAGGAAGAAAGAAAGAGAGTTAAACACAAATAGAAACCTTTTCAGTTTGTCAAGGAAACACAACAACAAGAGAATCTTTTCCCACTGACAAGACAGCTCACACAAAGGTGCAGAGCCCACTGCATGCTGTTTAGGGACACAGTTCTCCTGTTAGCCAATAGTGTGTTTGAGTGCTTTCACTTGTATCTGACAATAGTTTGGATCTCTTCTTCTGAATCTCATTTAGAGTCTGTGTAGCTACTGTACCACAAAAGCTGCCCTGATTACAGAAACATTAACAAAATCAAAGACTTTTGAATGGATACTCCTTTCAGAAATGAAGCAATCCAGGTCTGGGAGCTTGTTTTTGTCTTGTTTCAGATCCTTGCTATTAAATCTTTCTCAATGTCTCCAACTATTTCAACGGGTGTTAACAGATAAACAGAAAATAGATGAAACTCAATGCTGAAGAGCATTAGCGTGAAGTTTGCATTCACAGCCTAGCAGAATATCTCCATACTCAATTGCTGTAAGTGGCAAAGGTTTTTTTGCATTCCCCACTCACCTACAGTATGTCATCTCTACAACTTTCAACTAGATCTACAGTATGGTTACACTGATATTCTCAGTGGTTACTGTAGGACCTTATAAATCCCCTAGTGTGCCATATACAGCAGGTACCAGAAAAACCTAGAGTACACTGATCAAAACGGTTTAATTTCATACAGTACAAGAAGCTATTGTAACACTTGATTCTTCCCAGCATTATTTACAGAGAAAGCAAGTCTAAACACTGATTCACAGCTAAAAGTGAGGACACTGGCCCCCGGGATCAAACCTGAATTACAACTCCTGTAAGTGCCATGGAGGGTTGTACATCAGCAAACGCACCAGGTGTGACACTGGAAAACAAAGGTGTATTTCCTGCCTTTGGCAAAATTCTCAAGCACAGAAACGTCTCGCTGGATAGGAAAGGTACATCATATTTAAGCTCAGGCGAGCTCCACCCTGAAGCCCCCTAATCTGCACTGGGGCTGGACAGCTCTTACCCTCGTTAGCAGAATGAGGAGACTCCTCGATGTACACCTCCCCTGCTCCGGCCTGCGTCCTGGCATTAAGTTGGAACTTGTAGCGTGTATAGCGGTCTGGGCGGCGCATTGAGAAGCTGGTGACATTGGGGGAGAAGTTCTCTGTGACCATTCGCCCCATACGTGTCCCGTTCACTGGGGAAATAACAGTACACAGTCAGTGGAGAATGTCGCCCTGAACACAAGTCACCACTGATGCATACAGCCACGTGTTCCTGAGGTGTGCCATCAAAGGGCTTGCTTCTGCTCTATAAGGCACAATGCACTGCATATAAGTATTCTGTACTTTTTTTAATTATACTTAAATAATACACATATACAGTCTTTTTAATACACACTTTAACCATTTTTTTCCTATTTTAATTTCAAATTCCACCTCAACATACGGGAAAGACTGTTCTACAAAATGTACAATGGTCCTGTTTAACAGCCAGTAAATGATTCCATAAGTAGTTCAAGTAGGGAGCTGCATCAGCATGCGTAGGCTGCAAAGGAACAAGTAAAGGTTTATTCCAGGCTTAAGAGAAGAAACAATATTTCAGCTGTGGAGCCTTCTTTGACCCAAAGAAGGCTCCACAGCCAAAGTGTTGAGTTTCTTTTCTTCTCCTTTCAGCATGGAATAAACCTTTACTTGTAGCTTTATAATTCCATTATTTGTGCAATCTACTTAGACTATAAATTCCCAATATCAAGGCACTTAAACACTGCAAGAAAGAATTCAACCAGGTAGCCTTTGCACAGTTTTGCTTGATCCGAGTATTTGAAGTAGTTCCAAATATTGTGAAGGATGAATACTCTTTGGCTAACCAACTGGATCACACACACGCATGCTCAGCTGAAGCCCAGAAGAAGGTGAATGTCTACCAGCCTCATGTTCCGAATTCTTTAACTCACAATGCAAACGGTGTGTAGCTGCACCCTCACCTGTCTGGTACTTGAGTGTGTATCCCGTCAGGATGCCATTGGGCTCTGCAGGCTTATCCCAGTCCAGGTAGATGGTGTCCATGTGCCGTTGCTGAATACGGAAGTACTTGGGAGCAGATGGCACTTAAAAAAATATATATACAAGAGCCACATTAATCAGTGAAATAAAGTGTGGAGTCAATTGTACAGATAATATCAAGATGCTCTTTTTTAACAATGGCTTAAATCCTCAGTCTTTGCATGAGATTAAAAAAAATCCCAAAACATGTCTTCATCAGTAATGGAAACAATGATTTTTGGCCTTTGTTCAGATGAGCTGCATTTTTTGCACACAATGACAACAATTTCATTCTGTCTGCTTTTAATACAGGAGCATCTAGGCCTGCTCCTGGAGGGCCAGGCTCAGCTATATTAGATCAATTGTCCTATTTCACTTTAAGACAATTAAGTTTTAAAAAGACCTAGAAACTCTGCAGACAACAACCCTGCAGGACCAGGGCTGGACACCCCAGGCAATGTTGTAACAGTCTCTAGGACTATTTCAGGGTTAATTGTTTTCTCTGGTCACTTGGGTCCAGGCCTGTCCAGGCTTCCTACCTCCCTCCTTGGTCTGGAAGTCCACAACGTTGCTCTGCGGACCCTCGTAGCGGTTGTTGGCCATCACCACATACGCCTTGTAGTTGCTGTAGGGAATGAGATTTGGCAACCACCCGGAAGGCCGACTCATAGTGCCTTGGAAGGACCTGGTCTTCTTCTCCCGGTTAACAGTAAGCCACTTCAGCACGCTGCTCTCTCGCCAGTAATACACCTGCGCCAGGCCAAGAACAACCAAAGCCAGAGCACAAAGGACATTAGACAGCTTCACACAAGGATCCAGCATCCCCTACACCAAAGACTCCCAAATGGAATCTACAGTACACTCCAGATCTATTCCCATCCCAAATAAAACAGGAACAAATCATCATATAGTAGAGTCAAGTAAGGATTGGATAAGTTTTTTTTTTTAAATGAGACATTATGCCAGAGTGAGACTCTATTATGTTATATTGCAATCACATCAGCACTGCACAAAGTCCTACTTATCATGAATAATGCATTGAAAATGAAATTCCAGAAAACACAAGGGTCTCATTTATTTGGATACCCCTAAGTACCCAAATCCAATATCGAAACGAACAGAGGAATGGTTAACTACAGGGGTGTGGATAAATGTGTCCCTTGTGTTTTTCTGGAATTCAACCGATCATTTAAAATATGACATATATGACTATGCTCTACATTAATGCTATTGTGATTACAGTATACTGTAACTCACTGATTTTTTTTTAAATGAGACTGAATTATCCATAACTCATTCTACCATGTGTTTATCGATACTGCTTCATCAGAGGTATGTATACATTTCTGAATAAATGGCACTGCATTAGGAACATAACAGCTAGCTTCAAACCTATGGGCCCTTAGCTACAGTATTTAATCAAAGGAACTCCAGACAACTTAAACCCATTACTTGATGGCAGGTAAGGATTTGTTTTTATTTTGTGTTATCTGTGACTAGCATGATCCAAGGCATTGTCTATGATCCAAATCTGTTACAGGTTTTTATTAACACTGGGTCCAAAAATGTTATGGAAAAAGCAGGTACTGCTGCTGACCAGATTGGATAATAGAAACAAAAGCATGACAAAATATTTGAACAGAACAGCTCCAAAAAGAAGAATGGGAGAATTGGCAAACCTTGTATTCCTTCATCTCTCCTTGTACAGTGCTCGGCGGCACAGAATTCCACATCAAATGCACCCTCATGCTCTCGATCTTTGAGACACGCAGGTTAGTGGGGGCTGCAAGTGGACCTGGTGAAGCCCGAAAAGACAAACACATTGATTACAGTCTGAGCGTCACAGGCAAGCCCTGCCTCTCAGGAATTGAGATCATCATCAGGCTGGAAGCTACATGCTACACTAGTCTCTGATAAAACATCCCATAGCAGCGCTGGGACCACCACAGCTGCGGTCTAGAAGCACTTATGAAGTGTAGAGTTTATGAAGACTTGCTTGGATATGTATAGGTTTTAAATCAAGCATTTAATTTTGCTCATTCAAGTCAAGGGCACTTTATCATAAGTCTTGAAGTTTGAAATCGGGGTGTTCACCTTTTCACTCCAAAGGATGTCTTTTAAATATTTTAAATAGTGCATTTGGAGATTACCTGTCTCCAGATAACTACTAAAATATGACTGCTGTAGATTATCTGCACCACAATTATACTATATACTGATACAAGTTGATTATTTTAGTCTAAAATTAATGCCAAGATTTGGCTTTCGTTGGCTGATGATTCTCAAATGTCACTCCAAAGATGAAGTCACAAGGTAATATTTAGCACTCCTGAAAGTGCCTTATAACATACAGTTCAGTTTGACTTGCTTTGCATTTTGAAATGCTTATTTGCATGTATGCTCTGATACAAGACACTTAGAAATGACCAAAACAAACATAGAACAGCAGCAGCAACCACAACAAGTTACATAAAATACAACTTTAAAAATCAGAGAAGCAGGAAGAGAAGAGGGGAAAACAAACCGAGTAGTAATGTAGATGAGTTTAGTCAGTGGTAGGGTTAGGGTTTAGTCAGTATTGTACCCAGTATTGTATACATTCACCTTCATTTTAATACTCTGATGTAGGGCTGGGCGATATGGCTTAAAATTTATATCACATTATTTTAATTTTGGACGATAATGATATATAATTTTTTCTCAGAATTTCGACAGAACATGTTTTAAAAAGAGTACAAGAATTGTATGTTTTTATTGCCTGGAGTTAACTACTAGGATATTATCAACTGTTGGTTAGCTACTGTGTTGTTCCTTCAGTATTTTTGAAATTTCACATTGAACTGAAGTAGAAGTCGAACATTTTAAAAACATTTTTTAATTTGCAGAACTGAAACAATACAATAAACTTATAAACATTAATTAAATAAGTAAATATGTAATACTTCATATAAAATTCTTATAAACTTGTAGGGGAGAGGTTATGTAATACTTCTGAAAAGAAAAGAAAATTACAAAAATAAGTTAATAAATATTCAAGCATTAAAGTAATAACTCCTCACGTATTCAAACAGCTGCTTGGTTTGAAAAAGCAGATGGCACATACTAAATTGTACTTCAGGTTACAGATTAAGTGCCAGAAAGACCAGCTTGTCAACAGTGTCTGGCTTGAGTGTAGATCTGTGACGAGTCACAATGATACTACCAGGGCTGAATGCCCTCTCAGAAGGTGCACTGGGGGCAGGTATGCAGAGGTACAGTTTTTCTTGGCCAATTTGGACACTCTTGGAAAATTGGCTTCATGCAACCTTCAGCACTCCAGTGGACCTGTCTCACAGACCACCTCGGGTGTCTGCAGGTAGCTCCTCAGCTCCATTTCAACTGTATCTCTGTCACAAGAGGCAGATGGCCCTGACCCTGGGACATTTCGTTTTGAGAAGAATCTGCTCAGACTCTTCTTTCCTTTCTTTTCCAGTACTACCTCTGGTTCAGCTGCAGCAGTGTCTCCCACGGCAGCTGGTGGGGTAGACACTTTTTCAACAATTTCGTCGCTTGTTCCCATCTCGCCAATGCTGCCTTTCTCCATTTCTCCACTTATTTTTTTACAGACAGGCACAATGAACACGTGCGTTTGTTTTCACGGAAAAGTGACGAGGATGCACGTGTGTTTTTATTGGCTGCAATGACCTCATATGCGTCATAAACCGGATGTCTGAACCGCCAAAGATCAGTCATTCTGAACCTATCAGATTTCCAAATATCAGCAAGATTAACACTTTCAGCATTATATAATGGAGCTAAAATACAGCAGAATTTTAAACTTTGACAACTTTGAACAGAGGCGGGGACAAAGGACAGGAAGTAAAAACGTTTTGCAACAATGCTGGCGGCACAATCTACAGTATGTAAACATACTGTAAAAATCCCTTCTCTATCGGTATAAATGGTATAGCCAAATCCATATCATGGCACATATTTCTACCGGTATGCGGTCTATATCAGTTATACCGCCCACCCCTACTCTGATGTACTGTACGTATATTGAAACTCTGTATTCATATACAGTAGTATGAATAAACTATATACAGCACATAAGCAAAACTGGAAACATTTATAGTGAAATGCCTTTCACTAATGAACAGCTTTTATTTTGTGTGCTGTGACTGCACTAAGGAAAATAATCAAATGTATAAAAAAATAATTATTATAAGGAGTGTGTAGACCATATTTCTGTGTACCACGGCCTTATCGCCTGCGTCTGAATTCATCCTGATTCATTACAAGCCAACGTGGTGCTATGTGGTGTACTTTGCAAGATTCCATCCCTACCCATATTTAATTTAATGGGAGTGTGTCCTGGTTCTGAGCAGGTTTCACTGGGCTCCGATACTTACGGTCCTCTCCAGAATACCCCGTGATCACCGGAGACTCGGGGCCGGGGCCGAAGTCGTTGACGGCCTGGATCTTGATGTCGTAGGGCGTGTAGGTGTCCGTGTCGTAGATGACGTGCTTCAGCCACTTGGTGGTGATGTTCTTCCACTCCTCACGTGAGCCCTGGCGCCGCCACCACACCACATAGCGCAGGTTCGGCCCATTCCTTTGTGTGTCCAGCAGCGCCTGGGGAGCACAACGGCGCAAAACACAGGGCGTCAACAACCACACTCCCACTCATGGAAATGCAGTACTCAGAGGTGAAGTTTAAAGGAGCTCGTGATGGGAAAAAGAAACATGTCTGAAACACGGAACACTGAACACGAGTACTGAAATGTGCTCCTCACACGACAGTCTCTCGCGGACCCTCTCCCCTACCTCCCATGTGATCTCCATGTTGGTTTTCTTGGTACCGGCTCCACGTAACTGTCCTGGGATGGCATCAGGGGCTGAAACAAAACGAGAATCACCTGGGTAGATCAGCAGCTTACCTGCCCACCCCTTGCCTCTTTTGCACTTGGTGATACTAAGATACTAAATTTAGCCTTTTAAATATTAAACTTTATTTACAGCCAAGAAAAATAAATTGTTCTCTGATGTGTACATACAAGGTAATGAAAGTGCTTCCAACATGAGATTTGTTCCTTAAAGTCAGATAAGGTATACATAATTAAGTTATAGCTTCAGTTTGATTTTCATGTCAATATACAGTATAAGCAATGTACTCTAACAAATACAACATCAGACAACTGGCAAAAAGGAGGTCTACACAGTAAACTGCTATGTGGTGGACGTCTGCAATGACCAGATAGAGCTTCGTCACCAGGGAAGCTGCAGGAAGATTTAATCAAGCGCTCCTACTGGGATGTGCGGCCACAAGGGAAGGGCAGAACAGGCTGGCTCACTCACGCGCCCCGCTGGTCTGGTACCGCTGGGACGGCCGGCTGGGACGGCTGGCTCCAATGGCATTGATGGCGATGACCCGGAACTGGTAGTTGATGAAAGGGGACAGCTGCAGAAGGACGGAGTTGAGGTTCCCTGGGTAAATGGAGAGGTTCTTCCACTTGTTGGGCTCCCAGCGATCCTCCTCAAACTGTACCAGGAAATCTGGGAGGCAGCAGGGAATAAAACCACAACCTCTGACCTCACGCCCATGTGGTTGATCCTGTGTACTTGGAAAATATATTAATGTGCACTGGGTTTAGGGAAGGGGGTAGGGTTAAAGTCTTAATATTCTTGAACAGTTGTGACAAAACTACATATGGGAACATCCCTGTGGATCAAATTGCTGGAAAAGCTAAAAGCCTTTAACCGGAAACTTCTAATAAGTTGCCCTCCTGATCACTTGCTGTTAAATGTGCAAGTACACAAACCATGACAGTGACATTTATTTGGGAAAGAGAGAAGAGAAGAAGACAGAGGCACTGGATTGTGGAATAAAGGAAACATCCCATACTTGTGATGGGGCTATGGTTGTCATCCCCAGGTATCCAGGTGAGCCGGACGCTGCGCTCCGAGGGATCCGACAACTCTAGGTCCGTGGGAGGATCCGGCCGGTCTGCGGAAGCACAGGAAAGTGCGTTAGCTGAAACTCCCATCACCTCATCAGAGCTTCTATTAATTTATCTTGAAGCCCACAAAATCATCATCATTAAATGAAAATTAAATTACCAATAAAACAGGGGAAGTAGCAGTTCTGGCATTAGTGTCACAGGTGATGCTCTCCCTGCCCCTGCTGGGATTTGATCCCAGGTAGACCAGAGCTCCGAGTGAGCGCAGCTCCACTCCATGGACAGCAGATAACTCCTCTACTTAAGAGGACCGCTCCTCCGCTAGTCTTATACTGGCTAGACTTCAGAGGGGGTGACGTCACTTCTGTCCCTGGTTCAAGCAAGAGCCCTGTTATACTAGCAGCATGGCATGCTCGCCAGCTCTGAACTTCACCAGCCCAGCAAGACTTGCGCTATTCCAAGTAGGATAATTTTTTTTTTTTACAAAATCAAATGCGCATTCCAAATATTAATGTGAATTAGTGTTCAAATCTGAGGCTATTCATTTCTTGCTGAGCAATAAAACCACAAATCCCTCCACATCTGTTTCTCCTCCATCACACAAGGGGCCTATGGTAAAAATATCAATGAACTGACATGCAATGCAGGCTGGGAAAACGACACACGTTACCTGGCACCACCGCACTGCGGTTTGTAGGAGAGAGGGGATCATCTGTGAGGCAAAAGTTTACAGGTCAGAGGTTAGTTTTTCTCATTAGTAAAGCAGGCAAAGCCACAGAGTCTGATCTCAGCAGAAAGGAACCCCAGCGACATCTGGCACAGAAAACATGGTGTTTATACCAGAGAATAATTCATTTTCAGACCCATTGCAGTTATTATTGAGGTTATTATTTTTACCATTGTTATTATTTATATAACTGTTATGATTACTATTAATATGTGCTTCATTATTGCTGTTACTCTTAGTTTAATTAATAAAGCCTTTTAATATTTTCCCATCACCTACATACTGAGGACGGTTAATCTTTTTGCTTGTTTGCTTAGATTAGGCCATGGGTTTAAGCATACAGTTTTTGTGATTAAGCTCGTGGGATCGCACTTTTTAACTGGGAAGTACACAGGATCGTTTGTGACTAAGTGAGTATTCCAATTCAAACAGAAGGACATTTCTTCCAGCTTTGACACTATACGGTCACCCATCTGGAGATAACGCACCCAGCACGGTGAGGCGGGCGGAGGCAGAGTCACTGTCCAGCTCCGTGCTGGCAGTACAGGTGTACGTGCCTTCATCTCCCTCATTCACGTTGTGAATGGCCAAAGAGTCCTCATCCTTCTTCATCCTGGGGGGGAAATGGGGCACAAAGGACAAGAGGCAGAGAGAAGAGAAGAAAAGAGAATAGAAGGAGAGAAGCACAGAAAGAGGAAGGGGAAGGACCAGAGAGCGAGGAAAGGAGAAGGAGAGGCGGAGAAAGGAAGGGAGAGGCAAGGGAGGGACATTGGGAGAAGGAGAGTGTTCGTTAATCCAGACAGGTGAAGGACATGGAGCCAAAGACAAGATTGGCAGAAAGTGTCAGCGCTTCAAATGAGCAACTATGTGAATGTTCCGTGACTTTGAAAAGGAGCTGCCCATTTAATCACATTGAGAGGGAGTTTGTGGCAGAAGTGCCTTGCACTGCACCTTCCATTTGAGTTACTGACACTTAGTGCTGCCATCCAAATGATAACCTTTATCTTGCAGAAGAAGAAAACACTAACATCATATGAAAGAAACCGAAAACACCATAGTTAATCAAAAACACTGAAATGTTAATTTTCTAGATGTTATCAGATCAGTGAATTAATTTTGGAAAGATTTCCCATTTCTGGAAATTGGAAATATTTCTGTGGTAGTTTGTTATTGTCTGTGAGTCTCTATGTTAAAATATAACCCCTACCTTGGATAGAACATTGCCACCACATCCTTGAACCAATTTCCTATGATCTGAATAAAATTTCTTATAAAATAATACATATAAATAATAACAAAAGAGATAATAAAAAGAGAATTAGGATACAAAAACACCTGGGAAAATGTCTTTGGTTAGTATAAATATTATATATTTTCAAATCAAACTCATCAATAATTTTTCTTTACAAATGTCAACTCATTTGTTGTCAAAACACTTTTGAAAAACATGGCAAAGTGACTGACCAATGGATTTCAAACCATATTTAGTACCAAGGTAGTAATTTTTGCAGAACTTTAAATGGGAAAGGTGAGATAGAGTATTTTAAAGTTGCACGAAACCAGCGTGAACACAAACAAGCAACCAGTGTCCTCATCTCTTAACTGTTCTCACAATGGGTAAAACAAAAGGCAAATTGAGAACAATCATCTTAATATTTAAAGATCTAGACATGTACAGTACATATACCCAAAACGTAAAGAGAAGTACTTTGTTTATGCACAGCAAAAAGAAAATGCATCAGGCATGCTGTTTTACTGCATTCCAACCTTTCATTTAAGTTTTAATTTCATTGCCTTACAAAAAGCAGAGGGGACACAGAAGGTGTACTGTATGTTTTCACCCATTGTGAATAAAGGCTTTTGTGTCCACAATTGAACCGAGAGGGGCAATCTCTAGTCCTTAAAGCCACAGGTCAGTAGCAGACTTTATAACTCTGTTTAAACAATCCACAGCCTAAAACCTTGGGGAAAACCTTACAAATAAATAAGACAACGGAATTAAACAAGTGGAATAAAAATCAATAGACCTTATACTCCCCAAGAGCAGGAAATGAGCTTTGCTGAAATAAACGAAGCTCTGAAGAAGACTGAGTTGGTGGACTATTATCTCTCTGAAGGGAAGGAATATCAGTACTGTGCACCACTGAAGCTCACCTCCACCCCAGGGACACCGGCACGTCATCCTTCAGCCAGGAGATGGTGAGACGTAGTGAGGGGTCGTAGTTGATCCGGCAGTCGAACCGGGCCACTGTCCCTCGTACAGCGGTCAGGTGCTCCGGGGCGCGAACAATCCTAGTGGATTCTGATTGCACAGAAATTAAAGAAATAGGAAAACAAATACAGGTGTTCCTAAATATCTTATGATGCAAATCTGCTTAATTAATAACTGATTAACCCATTGCTACTAAACAAAAACTTAAGAGCAAAGCCTGTGGACATGCATGCAAAAAACACACATTAAGCACTTGGTCAAGTAAATAAGTGTAAATCTGTAATTAAAATCAGGGGATCCGATCGCCCCACAGGACAAAAGGGAGCCCCTGGTTTGTAGAGGAATGAGAGGGTCAACAAACAAGAGGAGGCATTTAACGAATCAGAGCACCCTGACTGACCTTTGACCTCCAGGCGGACCTGGTTCTCAGCATTGCCAAGGATGTTGGTGGCCACACAGGTGTAGGTACCCTGGTCCTCAGGGCGAGTGCGCCGGATCTCCAGAGTGCCGTTACTGTACACCCGGTATTGTCCACCATCCAGGTTACTGCCCTGTCCGTTCTTAAACCTGCAGAGGCATGGCACAACCCCAGAGACCTCATTTCAGCCAGCTCTTGTCTAACCTCTTTGCTAGCAATACTATCCACATGACACATTTATGCAGTTTTAAACTGTATTTTGACTGCAGCTAAGATCTTTCCCATGTGCAGGACATAGTTTGGAGTTCCAGATTAAGCAGTCCCATCCTGGACTACAGGATAAAGTGTAAGGTTATCTTAATTCTTCAATTAGAAACATTCAGATTTGTGCCCAAACATATACATTTAGTTTTTAGACACAACACTATATTGTGTACCTGTTATTACAGTGATAATAATACAGTAACAAAGACTACAGACAGACAATTCCAGCACTGCTGATATTCTCTCAGCAAGTATTTGCTCAAGTATTATAGGGAGAAAAATCATAAAAAGGGATTCTAAATGCAGGCAATATTACAAATCAAAGTCTACAAAAGCCTCTCTGAGGGCTAGTGCTGCCTCCCCAAGGTCTCACCCTGTTGCAAACGCCCCCAGGCAGGACACATCAGAGGACAAACATGTCCTTGCCCGTTCCCCCCTCCCCCTCTATCACCTCGCAGCTCTGTTCTCACCAGCGCAGCTCTGGCAAGGGCGAGCCGAAGAAAGGGCAGTCCAGGAATGTGCGGTTGTTCTCAATGACCTTGATCAGCTGGTTCTTGGGACCCAGCATGCGCGGCTGCATGTCTGCGAGAGGACACACACGGACGACAGACACAGATGGGTGATCATTATGGGCTGTCAAATCCTCTGTAGCTACAGTATATATAATGCTATAGCTCATTTTAAAAATGACTGACCTTTAACCTCTGACATTTACCAGGCTATTTCAACACCACAACCACCGTTAAACTAACCTTTTAGAAAAAAATCGATTTTACTAAGTGAAAAGGGAAACAAACACCAGCCTGCTGCTGACTCATTCTAATCCTAGCTCTGGCATTCTTAACTCCCGAGCTCCAGCACTGGATCTTTTCTGATTTCAATGTGTTTCAGAATCCCCTGCCCCCCTTTCAAAAACCTGACGGAGCCCAGACTTACCCAGGATGCTGACAAAAGCGTTAGCCAGCAGGTAGCCATGTCCATTGGATGCGTTGCACTGGTAGACAGCGCTACTGCCAATCTGCACCGAGCGGAAGATGATGGTGTCTCCAACCACTTCGCGGCTCGGGTTGGGCGGCGCGCCTGGGAACAAGAGGGTCATGCAGGAGAGGTCAGAGGGATGTTGAACCCATCGTTAAAGAGTTTCTAAGAGCTGGTGCCGAATACTAGTGAGGAAAAGAACAGATGATGCAGAGATTGCTTTTTTGTAATGCATGACAGGCTCTTAATTCCTAAAAATTATTAGTCCTATGACTTTTAACAGAATAACATCTATATATTATATAACAGCTGAGGTCTGTTCTCGAATCTAAACCAGGCTGTTCTGGCCCAGGCCGCCTTGTCGGAAGCTCAGGAAACTCACTCTGGATAGGCTCTCCATTGACCAGCCACTGGATGGTGGGCTTGGGACTGCCGTTGGCACGACACACCAGCCGTCCACTCTCATCTGGGGCCAACACCAGATTGGATGGCTTGTCCAGCCAGTAGGGGGCAGCTGTGCGACAGATAAGAACACAGAAGACGGTGCAGTGGACCGTCTCAAAGCCGGGCTCAAAGTTTCAAATGCGGGCTGTAAGGCTATCGGACGGAGACTGACCTTTGACCTGTACGGAGACAGTGTGGCGGATGCTGCCGATCTTGTTGTTGGCCATGCAGAAGTACTCCCCCGAGTCCTCTTCGGAAACTCCGGAGATGCGCAGGGTCTTGTTGAAGTTGTCGAACTTGGCTTTCTGTGCAGGAAGGTCTCCCCCCTTTTTGAACCACTTGATGCTGGGTGTGGGCCTGGGGGTCAGAGAAGGAATGGAGGGATCATGGCAGGGATTTGCCTTTTCAAGTAACTGTTGAGGCCACCACTTGAAACCAGGGCAACAATCCTAAAAGGTACTTGTAGTACCTGAAATCAACAAACGGGGGAATTTTTCTAATTTTATTAATTGACTTGGGGAAAAAAAAAAGAGTCCTGCACATTCAACTGAATTAAATCAATTAATTGATTTAAAGGTAAACAGTCATGGCCACCTTACTACGGTTGCTGACAGTACTACAGTGACCATGGCTGACAACTGCTACTTCTACTGTTCAAAGACACTGGGAAGAGCACATATAAATGAGAGCTTGTTGTCCGCTCTGTTGTGTTGCTGAAGCCGATACTCAGGCTTTTTTCAAGAAACCCTGGATAAGTTTCTTGGATTAACTACCCACTTAATAACAAACAGGTTAGATGGGCCGACTGGCCTTCCCTTCTTTGTTTATCTTATGGACTACTACTGTTACCATTGTTGAGGTTACTACAACTAACAATTTCATAAATGTCTTCTGCTGCTATCGTCTTATTGCTACGACTACAACTGCAACTAATATCTTTGTCTCACTCACACTCCAGCAGCAATGCACTCAAGAAGCAGGTCCTGTCCACGCAGGACCATCTTGAAACTGGAAGTCCCAGTTGGGGAGAGGAAGGTGGGCGTCGTCTCGGCCACTCCACGAGCTGGAAGGGACACCGTGACAAATCGGGTCAATGACTTGGCATCTTGAGAGAAGAGCTGCCCTGGGGCAACAGATTTGCCTCCCTCTACAACTGGGCAACTCCAGATCCATTTATACTTTCTGCTTTTCCTAAATTTTATGGAACGGGGGGGGGGTTGGGGGGGATTATTGATCTGTGTTTTCCATGAGTGTGAACATAAATGGTTGCAAAAGGCTGATAAAGTTAATACCCTTTAAAACTTTTTCTACACTTTATTAAGTGCTAAGTATAAATATAAATTCGAACACCGAAAGCTTCACTAACTACAGCTACGCTACATATCTCCCCGAAGTCTACAGTATAAATCCTGGGGCTACAGCAGGGTTACATTTGAAGCCATGTAAGCTTTAAAACCTCTTTTTTAAAGGTATTCAAGGGGTCAGGGTATTTCTCCTAAATGAACTGCCGAAGCTGGAAATGGCATACATTCACGAAAAATTAAAAAGTATAATGAAGGAACCTGTCTGGATCGCCTTGTCTTTAATAGGAGTGTTTTTAAGGAGTTAAATGCAAGAGATCATGGTGAATAAAGATGCAAATCAATGATGCAGTATTGACGTCCATGTTCTCCCATGGAGTGAATTTACAGACTGTCTTGCTTTGATTTTGATGGCAACAAGCGAGGTCAAATAGTTACATAATTATTAGACCAACTTCAAAATATATTTCCAAATGGCAGGGGTATATGCTTTAAAAGTGGAACCAACATGTGCAGAACGCCACCACTTCTTGCTTACTTGTGTTAGAGAGATTTTCTATTTGTAATACCACATATCTACAGAATAAAACAAACCAAGTCTGTTTTTTTTTTAACAAGCATGCCTGGCAACACAAGAAAAATCCCAGTTTGAAGCCCAGTGTATGGATTTTTGTTGAAAAGACAGCACAATCATCATATGGATTCATTGCTATTCTCAGAGCCTTTGGTCATTCATACAGAATATTTTATTTTCAAAAAGCAATTTGTCCTTTTTTGCTTCCATTGTGGTTCTCATGTATATACATGTAAACAGACAGGGTTTAGCCGCCTACACATCAATAAAACAAATCCATCTCCTGAGGAAGAAACAAGCAGAGGTAATTCCTCACTGAAAGGAGGAAAGAAAGCGTGACGTTGTGTATTTGACTTTCTTTTGACGTCCCAGCGTGGAATTAACCTCAACTCGCTCCTTCATCCATCTTACATGCTCTCATCTCTTCTGCAGTAATCGCCAATCCTGCAAAGTCACATGATGTACTCCTGGAATGTCTCCCGACTGGCCAAAGGCAAAATGTTTCCTGAAAATATTTCCCTAAGTTTTACACGGGGAAACGCATTATCTTGTTTCTGGAAGTATAGAAACAGACCGTGTACTGTACACTGTGAAGAAACAGTGTGTATAAACGTGTTTCTTCATGTATTCTGGGCTTTGCTACAAGCATGCCTTGTTACTGAAGTACACATAGCACTTCTGCTTGCACTTTTTGTTTCAGGGCATGGTATAGATTTTTAAATCCACCCCAGCTCTGCAGTGAGAAGACACTGAGTCACTACACAATCTTTTTAAGGAGTTAGCTTTATCACCTATGAATTTCTCAGAACACAAAACACTGGGAAGAACTTAAAAATTCAAGAACAAGATTAGAACAGTCTATGTAGCAGCTGGTTCCATTTCCAACCATTTACAATTCTACCAAGTGTTGTGGGGGTCAATACAATTTTTAATTCTCAGGATTACAGAAAATCTTGGTTTCCTTTGCATTCAAAACACAATGATTTCAAGTGAACCATTGGAGTATACTTCAGAATGGATACATTATGTTAATTTGTATATTTATATGTACACAGGATATTCTGGGCCAGAAGCTCTTAAAGGGCCTCAGTCGGCAATCAATCATTTGCTCAAGATTAGGCTGAGATAAGCACATGAATATTTTTAAACCAACCAATTTTCAACCTCAGGGAGGGAAGATGTGTGCATGAACACTGAATCTAAAATAACATTGAACAAAGATGACAAGGAAACGGATTTACTGCAGTTCATTTTTAAATTAGGTTGGAAAAGAGGGCACAGGAGTCTAGAGGAAAAAAAAAAGAATAGTAAGTTTAAACTGCTGCCAGTCATAAGACAAGAAATGACAACCAGCAAGAAATGCCATTTTCGAGCACCTCAATACACACCCCCGTGGTCCCAAACGACTGTACTTTACTGTGAAATGGGCAGAGAGGAGGAGAATGAAGGTCACACAGGCTAGCAGTGGATGCTGGAATGGCTGACACATTGGGTTATTTTAGATTATTGTACAGAGGAAAATAAGATGAGATGGAGAAACAGATGAGATTAAGGGCCTGCCCACAAGAAGCCCTTAAAATGCCCGAATCCAAAGGAGTAGGTCTAAACCTAAGGAAAGGGAGGGATAGGAAAAGGAAAAGTTAAGAAGGGAAAAGCTTAAAAACAAGATTTATTTTATCCACACAAAGACTCGTCAGCCAGAATCTAACCTATTAGAAGTTTAAAATCCCCTTTATGGTAACTGCTAAATTAGAGCACATTTTCATTACAGAATCCAAAGCCATTATAAGACAAAGTGAAAGAAAAGATGTTAAGAAAGGTCTCAAACTTCTTAAGCGACTTCTGGGAATACTGCAGGCAGGGTCTTAGCGCACAGATAGCAATTACTATTGGCAGCAGTCATAATTACAATAATTGGCTTGTATGCTTCTTGAAAAAGTGTCCCTGCTGTCATCTGTGGCCTGTCACAAAAATCACTTTGGCATCTCAGCTGTCAGATTGAGCTCACACTCGCACAAAGAAAGTGCTTCTTTTGTTGAAAGCCAGAAGTCCATCCTCCAATGAGAAGAGACAACTGTCACTCCTTAGTTGCACTCCCCAGCTTTTGTAACAAGCTCCATTTTCTAGACTCTGAAGTTAACTCTAACTTGAACGGTATATCACGCTACAACAGCCTTATCAAAAAGCACATCGACGTACAAAGAAGCTGTACAAGCCGTTTCTGATAATGCAAGGGTGTCTAGGATGGTATCTGTAGTGTCAATCTGAATGCATGAATTTCTTTACTTTTTAAAGATGAATGTATATAGAACACTGGCAAACGAAAAAAATGAAACTAATAATCATATGGACAACTACTAACAAGTCCTAGATGACTTATACAGTATATATTGCACAACACATACAGCACTGCATTCCAGGCACTTGGCAGAAAGACACCACAGCCAGTCTTGACAGTGCAGTGTAAGAGGTTGGGCTCCCAGCTCCCGCCCTCATGGGGACCATGAGGTACAATTCAAAGTAGCCTATCAACCCCACACCTTTGGGAGATGGGAAGAAACATGTATACACAGACAGACACCTGAGGCCAGAAACATACTCAAGGCCTGGGTGAGGCCACCTCTCCTGAAAAATAAACTTACTTAAGCCATCCTGTGTTTGACCCTTGTAATAAATAGCAATGATTTGAATAATATACTGAAACAGCTTCACTCTTTAGGTTGGTTGCCTGGTTAGTCAATTTTCTAATGATACATGGCAAAGAAAACTGAGAAGGAATTATTTCAGCCTGAATATTGGGGGGTGGGGCTGAGACACTTGATGAGTGTCTCTTTCTTTTGCATTTCCACTCAGGTGGAACAGAGCAGATGACCCCGGGGACCACCAAACTCTCGTCCACGAGGGCTGAGGTCTGTTTAACGCCTGAAGAACAGAGGTTAAGCTGGTCTCAGTAGGTCTTGTGTCAATTTCACCCGTTCCTAAGCTACTGAATTGTAAAGTGACCCCCAAAACATTGAAGACTGATCATTGATGACCAGAGTTGGGGACCCTGATCTATACATTTACCCTTCTAATTTGGCACCACCAAATTCCCTCCCAGCAATATCTGTGACTGGTGTGTTAAGTGGACTTAACAAGAAATCATTAAATCACATTGCTTCTCTTTGTGGGGAGGCAGCTACATCTAATAAAAGGGGGAACAGCCGAATGGTCCCAGTAACTCACCCGTCAGCCTCAGCGCATCTCTGCCAGTCTGCCCCTGGGGGAGTGGCAGGCTAGGTGTGGTTAGGCAGGTACAAGTGTGAGCGAGGTTATGCTGCTGGCTGGGTTAGGACAGCGAGCTGGGAGCAGTTACGGGTGATGGAACAAAACACCAACGAACAAAAGAAAGAAAGTCACCGCAGACTCACCACTGTAAAAGTCAGTGTGGTTCAGAGAGGAGAACACAGACGTATCGTTATAAGGCTCTTCTGCAATAAAATAACATCACGCCTGTCAGGACGCCAATGGAGGAACAACAACAGAAACCAAACGCTGGGAGAGGAACGGAGGGGAGGCAGAAAGGACAGCAACACAGAGGTGAAAAAATAACAGACATCGGAATTAAAACAAGCAACAAAAAATAAATAAATGCAGAAATGGTTAAAGTGGCGGAACAAGAGCACTCTTCTGGAACAGCTTGCTGTGCCTTGCGATCCAGCTGCATTTCAGAGGTGACTTACAGTATCTGTTTCTCATTCCAGATGCCTTGATTTCATGTTTACCAGAGAGCAGTTAAGTTGTTATAGAGTTCTGGTGTCCCACAGGCGTCTCATACAGCATATTACCGGGTTTAAAGGTGGGTTAGAAAAACTGGGTGAACAAAACTCATTCTGTGGTTCTCAGAGTCCCTGGATGATGTCTGTCTGTCTGCCTCAGAATGACTTTGGTCATTCAGACGAGGATCCAGTTCTGCTTTCAACAGAGCTCTTCTTGACACCCCAGGAGTGAGCCTACCCAGTGAGAGGATTTCTCCAGAAATAAAATGTCCAGTTCAGAGTAAGCTAATGACCCTCACTGAAATTGTACTCTGATGAAAAAAAAATGTTGACGAATGAAGCAAAAAGAGAAAAGGGCAAAAAAAAAATCAGATGTATGCAAAAACATCTGAAGTTAAATTGAAGTTAATTTGTTTTAAAATTGTTGTAAGATTTAATTAGTTCTTAGTACAAAAACCTTAAACATTTAACACAAAAGAGCTTCTGGACAAAAATAAACAGGCCAAAAATTAAAGCGCCACTGACTTGACATGCGTCATGTGCTCAATGAACCACACTGCTCATATTACGGGTACAGCGTGGCTCAAGGGAGTCTGGCATACTGCAAAAGCACCACCAGGTGGCGGCCTTGCTCCATAGGTCGTTTGTTTACACAGAAAATGAGATTCTGATGGCAGCGCTGAACACAGACAGGATGACTAACATCTTTCTACATCACATTTACTCCTACTATTGTAGGCACAAGGTAGACAGTAAAGAACATAATAAAAGGAGAATGCAGCTACTAAAGGATTCATAGGATAATGCCTGTATAGACATTCCCAATCATCTGAAAATTAAAGAAATTTATTAATACATGATGTTACTACTGAATCATTTTGTCATGCAGAAATAATGGTGATGTCTGAAAGTCATGTCTTGACAATATCCATTAATCCAATTTTCTAACTTCTTCCAATTCAGGGTTGCAGGGCAGCCAGAGCCTATCCTGGCAATCAACGAGCGAAGACAGGGTATAACCTGGACAGGACGCCAGTCCGTTGCACGACAGACAGACACACAAACACTCACAGCTAGGGCCAATTTTCCCAAAAGGCAATTAACCTACCAGTATGCTTTTGAACGAACCGCGGGAAGAACCCAGGAGACCTCGAGGAAACCCACGCGAACATGGGAAAAACATACTGTACAAACTCCACATATAGCATCACAGGTCTGGAACTGAACCAGCACTGCAAGGTAGCAATGCTAACCACTGCGCCTCTGTGCCGCCTACTTTGAGATTGCTTGTTTAATTATAAAACCATGTTCTTTACCCAAAAACTACAAAATTTAAGGTTTTAATGGCTACTTTGAGAGAGTGCCACCTATTGGACACATTCTGAAACTACCCTCCTGTTTGAGCAGATGAGTCACTCGGTTAACAGTTAAAAACAATACAAGTTAATCCTGTCGAGGACAGGGTTATTCTTTCACAGCGGCCAATTTGGAAATTGCTCAACCCTGTATAAAAGATCTCCATGTGTCGTCACTTCACCATCTGTAATCTGAAAATCAAATATCTCTCTTGAGGTTCAAGGGCCTGAAAGTACAAGGTGCTGAAACAAGAGATGTGGAAAGGGACTCAAAAGCAGAACCCTGCCATGACTGTAGAGGAGGAGAGTCAGTGTTGTGGCTGGAAGAGAATTTCTTTGAAGGGAGAGAGACACAATGGGATGTCTCCCGATGAAGACAATGTCTCCTGAAAGGACTTTAGTTTATTAAAGAAAGAAACCAGGATTTTGCTCTAATCTCAACCTGAAGGGTTTCACTCACGGACAGTGTTATCTGTAGGGAGTTAGGACTTAAATCAATTTAGCCGAGTCGATGGGATGCCGTTGTGAAGATAGCACACATGTGGGTGGACACTCACTGGTGAGCACTTTCAGGGTGAAGGGGTTCTTCTGCTGAATGGTGTGGGTGAAGAGGAACCGGGCATTGCAGCTGTAGTCCGTCTGGGCGTCCTTGGCCAGCACGTTGGAGAAATAGAGGTCTCCATTCAGCCCCATGGACACTCTCCTGTCTTGCACAATAGGCATCATGGCTGTGGGAGGGAGAGCCCACATGATTTTTCAAATGACTGACCGAGACAACGGAATACACCAAGGCAAGTACTCGGAAGCCACAGCAGGTTTTAGAATCTTTTCCATTCTGCCTACTGCCCACTGTTTTAGAAACTACTACAGTATCTGTTTTTTTTCTTTGGTCTAGACTTGACTGCTGCAACGCTCTGCTTGCTGGCATGTCCAATAATGCATTACGAAAGATGCTCCTGCATGTTCTAAACTCAGCAGCTCCAGTTCCAGATAGGGGTTATGTGTTCAGTGCAGTTAGACCTATCCTGAAATCCCTGAGCTGGTGTCTCAAGAAGCCTTCCTCAGGAAAGCTCAGCCGCCAAAACTTTGCATTTCCTCTACCTATGCTGACACAGCTGCCCACTTGACTGTCCAACACATATTGCTGTATTCTCTAATTTTGTTTTTTTTTTGCATACCATCAAGTGCTTTGAAACAATTTTATAAAGGTGCTTCATCAAATAGAGCTTATTTTTTTATAAAGTGCATCTAAGACCAAAGAGTTGCTTTCAGCACGCAGGTGAGGAAACTCACAGCTGTTCATCCAGAAGGTGCTGGGTGGAGGCAGGCCAGGTGGTGGGTTGCAGGCCAGGATGAGAGAGGACCCCTCGTTCACCACTACAGGTTCCAGGACCTCTTTGGGCCACAGTGGTGACTCTGACAGAAGGAGGTTCAGTATTTCAAAGTGACACAAGCAATTTCTTTTCCGTCTGTGACTTACCACATGCAAAATCAACATTCGTTTTCAGAATGCAAGAAAGTTTGGTCCCACGTCGAATACCGCACTGATTATCACAACCAGAAATATTAATTCTTAATAACATTCACAGCTATCTTTATCCCTGCCCCTATAATCAAATTTAACCCTTAAAGTACCAGCGTTATTTTCAAGGCACTTTCACTCCTAATAAACTCACTAATAAACTGCAGATCCAGTAAGGAATGCATACTTGAAGGTTTTTTTAATGGATTTTAGCATCAAATGTGAATAGTCAGAAGTAAGGTAGCAAAACCTGTAACCCCCCACTGTAACCGGGGGTTTTAAATAGCTTTTTCATGTCTGTAGAAAATCAGATGACATGTTATGCACTGCTTTCAGCAGCGTGACACCTTCACGGAGCTGGCAGGTGAACGGGGCTCTCCTTACTGGAGACGCGGAGCAGGATCTTGTTGGAGAGGGCAGTGCCGTAATCGTTGGTGGCTAGGCACTGGTATTCCCCCTCGTAGTCCTCGGGCCGCCCCCCGCTGCGGAAGCCGATCTCAAGAGTCCCCGAACGCTTGCGCATCGACACCCGTGGGTCCTTTCCCACGTTGAAGAACCTCCCGTTCCGCCTCCAGGAGAAACTGTGGGGAGAGACGGAGAGGGGCATGTCACTAGTGTCACTGCTGCTCAACAGGCATTACCAATCCTCCGTCTATTGAACTGATCACCTAGCCCACAGTGAAAAACCGAGATCAGTGGTTGCGCATCTCAAGAACCACTTTTTTGCATTATCCATCGAGAAGAGGGGAGGGGTTTAACTTTTTCTTGTCAGGAAAATTTAACTTTCCAGAAGATCCTCTGAAGAATTTTTTTGGCAGACCAGGAAATCGGGCACAACTGTCCAGTTGAGTGTGTACAGTGTTCACATTTTGGCTACAGGATACAGGAAAAAGAGAGTCTGTGGGAGTTTAAGGATAGAGGGGGAAGAGGACTGAACAATGAAAGGGAGAGGCTCTTTGTGCTGCTTACACTGGCAGAGGGTTCCCCTTGGCTTCACACTCGATAATGATGTTGTCCCTGGGGTCCACGATGTAGTCTTTCACTGACTGCTTGATGATAGTGGGAGGCTGTTTCACTGCAGCAGGAGGTGGAGAGGGAGGGGGGAACAGCAGAACAAAGACATTAGTGGGAGCTAAGGGTAATGGGGCTAATTACCAGACTGGGATAAAGACCCCTGCACTATTACCACCCTCTCACTCTGAGTGAGCATTCCTGCCTCTCCACACATTTCAATTCTCACTATCCTTGCAGATGCACCTAAAAGTTTCACACGTGCCAATTTGAGGCTAGGCTTAGTGTCTACATTAGCCAAAGACAAAACGGTAATGTTTTTTAATAAGACATTCACCCAATTCTCCCTTTTTAAGTTCTAATAATTTGGTATTTTACAACCTTCTTTTGGCTAGAACCATTTTTTTCAGCACCATAATAAACATTAGTATTTATGTAGTATTTTAGATGTTGCTTCTACAGCAGACTACTTTGCCAGGAAACTGTTGAGTGCTGTAGTGCAAATTCCAGCCCACTGCTTGACTGCATTTTTGTCTTTGGGTTATGCTGCACAAAACAGTCAAGGTCCCGGCCACACTGAAATAAATAGTAAATATAAAATTAAGAGTTACACATAAGATCCACAACTTGATCCCATGATCCTAGAGACTCGCCCATACAAACGTCCCAACAAACAAAACTGTGAAAGAAATCTGATCAGGGAGACTTACGGTCTTGCTGAATCTTTGCTGTTAGTTCCCGAGTTGCCAGAGTGAGAGGAGAGAACAAAGGAGATGGGATTGTTAGTAAGATGAAGTATGAGCATCGGAAAACCAGCAAATTACTGGATTATTTATTTGCTGTTTACCTTTTTAATTGTTATGAAAAGGAACCTTGACTTTGCAGCATTTGTATTTCTGTCTGGAGCTGAACGGTAGGGACTTTATCCTGTTACAGTAACGGGTCTTCAAGATCTCTCTAAGGACTTGCTAACACTTTGCCCTCCTGCACTACGAGACAGTCGAACTGATCATCAGTTTGGCACAGTTATCGCCAAAGCCTCAGGCCCTTACATTCAGACCTACTGTAGCTCACTCTCACATCCTATGTTTTCAGACAAAATGTTCAATTCCACAGTGTGCATTTTTGTGATCAAGCTTTGACTGAGGGAGGCAAAGCATTTCAAAAAGGATCTACATGCTGAGTTGAAGTCTGTCACAGATCTATGGAAAAGTGTCAGTTCTCAAAAAACTATTTTACACAGGCAGGGAGTAGGGACAGAGAAAATATTTATTTTTGATGTCATCTATTAATAAGAGCCATCACCCAATAAACAATACCAAGTAATGCAGTTGTACTGTATTTTACATACCACACCTACATTATGCAGTTGTCTTATATGTAAACTAGTAGAGATGCAACTTGTTAACTAGGTCCTATTATACAAAGAGACCGGAGGATCACTAGGGACAGTTTCCTTCAAAGACATCTCTTCCTTTCTGCAGCACACATTACCAAAGAGGGGCATTCAGAAATGATCATTGAGATGGCTTGATACAATTCATCGCCCTTGTCTTCAGGTCCTCCATTGAGCACTTACAGCTGCACAACTCCAAGTCCCAGACTGAAACAGGATTCAGCCTGAGAAGTCTGGGAACCTCAATGAGTTACACAGGTTAGTCAGTTTTAGTAACAGATGAAATTAAAGGAAATGCCAAGAGATCTTACACAGACAATGCAACTCTGCCCTGCACTGAACACAAATATGCTGAAAACAAAGAATAGAGAGTTTGGTGTTTTTCTTCAAATTCAGCCATTGCTGCACATCAAGGTATGTTGATCATGTACAGAGTGCAGTTTTTAGGCTGCCTGCCATTTGACAGAAATTTTATACAAATACATTATGTTGACATTAAAAAGATTAAGGCAAATTAAATAGATGTAATTAAATATGCAGCAGAGCGAGGCTGTAAAAGCATATGATGGTAAATTCAGCAGATGTTCTGCCAAACCATTCATGTGAACAGCACTGACAGAAAAAAAAACAGGAAATGGAATTGTGGGTAATTAGTCTTCGTGTCCAGGGATGCTTGCAGGAAGAGGATGTAGATTTCCAGTCTGAAACGGAGCTCGGATTTTGAACTCATTTAAAGGATCACTCTACCCTGAGAGGAGCATTAAGCCGTGAGGTGTGTGGTGCTTCATTATTTCTAAAACAATTAAAGCCTTTAAAATATTACTACTGCTCCACTATGTTTACTTCCGCGAAACATCAGCAAGTCACACAATGCGTCACGCATGGAAAGTGTGGAAAGGCTTACGATCAAGGGGCACTTCGATCGTCGACACCTCCGTCCACAGGAAGAGCAAGGCCAGTCCTGTCGGAGACAGCCGCCGCCCCCTCGTCAGCATCCTTCCGGCGATCGGACTCACGCAAGCCCTCCTCTTTCCAGACTGGCGGGATCACCAGCTGCCGACCACGCCCTTCACAGCTGCAAGGCATCGGACACCAACGTTAATGCATTAACTCAGTACTCGACCTCTCGCTTAGTGGAGAACTGCTTTGGATGTCAAACTGAGGTCCTGTGTATTTGCTCATTTAAGATCTTGGGACACTGCTCATAAGAGTAGGGGTGTTAACCCTGGTGTCTTGGACACATTTCATTCTGGGCTTGCACAATCTCCTAAACAAATAATGACAATTTAATAGGTAAAGTCATTTTTCACTTCTCCACCAGATCTGCTGTGTACTGGCAAGCAAAGTAAGAGAGCTACACTTGAAATGGGATGAAATGGGTATCATCCTAGAAGTAAAGCACTATGCTATAACTCTTCGATTAAGGTCATGGGTGTACCACTACCGAACCAAAAGGGAAACGGCTCCCTGGAGGAAGCCACCTGGGTTGTCGGCATTGCGGAGCGGGAAGCACACAGTGGCTGGAGCGACACTGTTCTGCACAACACACAGGACCCTGTAAGCACCTGCCGCACCTCGCCCCACCGTATTATAAGATATTATAAGATTAGCCATATACAATTGCTTGTACTAGGAATTTGTCTTTTCGCATACCCCAGCTTCCTCTCCATGAGACACACAGGCACACAGGCGGGGAGAGAAGCCTGGGGTCAGAGCTCAGGGTCAGCCATTTATACAGCGCCCCTGGAGCAGTTGGGGTTAAGGGCCTTGCTCACGGGCCCAACGGAGTAGGATTCCTCTGCCAGCCGCGGGATTTGAACCAGCAACCTTCGAGCCACAGTGCCACTGCTCCGCCCGTATTCAAATGGACAGCCTTAATTCTGACATACTGTACCATAAAGCCCAACTGCACCATGTAGGGCCTGTCACAGATGCTCTTGCAAAGTGTTTAACATTTAAGCACACAGGAACTAACATGAAAAGTGTGCAGATCCAAATGATTTTGAAAAAAAATAGGTTTTGAAGTCTTCAAGTGCCATTTATATTTATTTTTCCAGTAAATAAGAACCAGGGTAACATTTTTATGATATATACATACTATTGTTTTAAACAAACCTGTGACTAGCAAAGGCATTTAGTTAAACATAATCTTACAACAACTCTTTACAAACATCTGTTCACTGCACTATCTGTATTAAATGGAAACCCCAGACTGGTGCTAGTAAGGCCTTCACTCCAAAAAAAAAAAAAAAGACTGAAATCATACAGCAGGGAACTGTATACTATTTAATATGTAAGACACTTGCCTATAGAGATTGTTGTACTCTGCAGCATCATAATGTACTTCAGTGCTCCAGCAAGGACACACTGTGCCTGTGTGCGGCTGCTCCCTGCTCTGTCCTATCCCTGCATGCTACTCGGTTAGCCGAACTCACTTTGGCTTTCCTGCCAGCTTCCCCCTCTGCAGCCTGCATCCCACAGCGGACATCAATAATGCAGCGTGCAGGAAGGCAAAGAGCTGACAGCTGCAATAATCCCCCACTGCAGCTCCAACGTGCTGCAACCGGACTGACCCGGCCAGAGAGACAGCAGCAAGGAGGAGGGGCAACTCTGAGCACATCTAATCATTCACAAACAAAACCTGAAAACAATCCCATCCTACCCCTCTGTACAGTAAAAGAAGTTTGTGTCTTGCTCCTGTGGAGCTGTCTGGGATCTGGGAAGCAGAGGAGCTCCTCAAAAGAAGCACAGGCAAGGACAATCAAGTGAAAGGAGGCAAACGAGGTTGCAACCACACCCCACTCCAAATCACAGTGCCCTCGGAAAGGCTGTAGACAGATTTCAAGGGAGTTCGAGCAGGGACAGTGTAAGCATGCGTAGGCTGCAAAGGAACGGGTACAGGGTCGTTCCATACGAAAAGGTAAAGACGAGATTTCAGGACCCTTTGACAGGTGTGTGGGAGACAGGGAAAGCAGCAGTCAAATAAGGCATAGTAGCAAAAAGAGTAGATAAGAAGGGGCAGGGAGTAAGGAGGAAATGGGTATGAAGAAGGTAACAATGAGGTGAGATTAAAACGATTCCACTGTTCTACAGCTACACCACTAAGACAGAGAACAAGCACTGATATGCCTGTCACTAGCAGAGTGGAAAAGTAAGATAAACTGAAAAACAAAACAGGCAGACAGAGTGCTTGGATCTTGAATAACACTAAATGGGTTAAGCCAGGCGCACATCAGTGAACAGGATTCTAAGGACTAAACGTGCCTCACAACCCTGAGCAAGTAACCAGACAAGCTTGCCTGCTGCCAAGGACAGCTTAATTTTCTAACTGTAATTTGTTAGCAACCCCTCTATCCCCTCTATCATACACACACGTTCCTCTCCCCCATCTATCCATCTGGTGTCATCCCACCACCACCTCCATATAAACTACCTCCCACTGCAAAGGGAACAAGACACCGCCCCCAGTAGTGAATTTATGCCAAGTCACAGCTCAGGACACCCCCACTACCACCTGCACCTGAAATCCGCAGACGGACACCCGGACGAAACCCACGGGGCTCAAAAAACGATGTGGACTGCAGGTGATCAATGGTCCTTAGCACGGCTACGAAGACAAAAATCTAAAAGAAGGAGAAAGCAAAAGAGGGGAAGACAGAAAAGATAATAACAAGAAAATTAAACTGAAAAGGCACCCACAGTGCCCGCCTCCCAGTTGTCCCCCGGGATGTGAAGGCTCTCCTTCTTGGGAAGGGTCAGCTGAGGACTGCGGCCCTGGAGATCTACCCCAGTAAAACTTTGCCAAGAGCGCCACGCATGGCCCAGCTGTCACCGACAGAACGCCAGGAGCCCGCATGGCACAGAGAGGCTCCGCCGGGCAGTGTGTGGGTGCTGCTCGCCACAAAACTTACACGGAAAGACCCAAGAGTCAACAATAAGCAAATGCTGAACTTTAATTTCTCCAGAGAGAGGAGTAAAAGAAGTAGCAAGGGACAGCATCTAACCAAAAATACACTTTGTGACTCAAACAAACCGACGGAGAAAAAAACAAAAACAAAATAAGCAACAGGTACTTCAGAGGTACTTGGCTCTTAAAGACATTGAATGCTGTATTGGGCTTTTAGTAGCAGTACATTTAAACTGCTTTCCTAGTTTTTTGTAACCTAGAAATGCAGACGAACCAAAGCACTGGAGCCCTTGCCCCAGAGGGACTGGAGATGGGATGGCTGTGGGGCAGAAGGGGTTAATGGCTTGTTGCGACACCCAGTTTCCTGCAGCGTCACTGTTGGACAGCCCAGAGCGACTCCCGAGTGCTGAACTTACCGGCTCGCTGCTCCAGCTGACGCTCGCTGGGCCCTGCGGTGACAGCTCCATATCGCAGAGGCCCCAGAGTGCCAGGCTCCTGTTCTATAAATACTCCCGCACCCATCACACCCCATTAGACTCAGCGAAGTCTGTCCCTCCATTCCTCACTGCGGGCACCTAGCCACTTGCAGGACCCAATGCAGTCTTGTTTAAGGGGCAGTGATCCTAAATAAACCCACCCGCCCCCCTTTCCTCACTCCACTTCTGTGCTCAATTATGCAGCTAAACCGACCCGTGCTGACAGGCCACCCATACGCTAGGCAGCACAAAAAAGCTCTGAAACAACAAGGGCTAGGGGATAAAAGCTGATGAAGTGAAAGAGTAAACTGCCAAGCTATCGGCAAACAGGGCACAGCTCTTGTTAAAATCTAAAGCCCAGCACAGATGCATTGTCAAATTAGCCCAAGATTGTGTAAAATATTTAAACCCTTTATTTGATTGAACAGAAGCCCACAGACTCCATACAGGTAGACCTTGACTGATCCATTCATTTTACACTATCAATTTTTGGGGCGATTCCCACCTCAATTGTTTAAAATATCCACCATAACACACACAGTACATGTGACTGCGTGTATGACAGTAGTACTAAAGGTTCCAAGTCAAAGGCTGATCAATGAAAGAGGGCAGGTGCAGAACAATCTCAAACGCAGTAAGTAACTAGTGATTATTAAAGACATGGGACATACTTACACAAACTTCCAGGAACGTTTCGATAATGGCAGCCTCTTGCAGGACCTGTAGTATAATAAATAAAGGAAAATGATTAACATAACCTTAATTTTCTTTAAAGATATGTATATTATACAGCCCATATTCACTTTTCCATTTAGCTGGTCTGTTGAGAGACATTCAAAATAACATCAAAGAAATAAAATTAATGTGCAGGACCACTTTGTGTAGTATGACATCATGTTTTGATTACAGTTACAGCAGCTTCTTTGACTGAAGCCCCCTCCATACCAGCTCATATCAACCCACAGTACACGGTGTGCTCACTGACATTTCATTCAAACTCCACCCACCCCTTTTCACCACTGATCTCACAGTCTCTCATTGTTAGTGTGGGTTTTATACAATGGCCCTGCCAGGCGAAGAACAGGGCTCCATTCCATTCGGAAATTCTCCGGGATTCCACACTTGCCTCTAAACAATAAAACTAAAACAGAAATCCTTTGGAGTGCACAGAGAAACCTGTAGCGATCCTGAGCTGTGTGACTCAAGGTAAGTTGGTCATTACTGGAATGGAAGACCTCGGAGTAAAATCCTTAGATTCCCACTGGACTATATTTTCCAAACCAATGTCCCAGTATGGTGAACCAGGAGGCCTATAGGAGATGATATTCCTCACTTGAGATCAGGTCTTAACTAATTGGGCATTACAAGGTCCCAGGTCACAGTTCAGAAGAATAGGGGTGTTAATCCTGGTGTACTGAATGAAGTGGGTCTTCTTTGGTATCCTTTGGGAGTGAAAGAGCTGCATCAACACAGGAAATTATAAAAACGAATCTGGTTAACCCTCCATTTATTTTTCATCATGTTCTGTTATACATCCTCGAACTCTACCCTGAATCCTACGTTGCCTATACATTGCTGTGCAGTGAAACTTTCAGACCACAGCAGGCACAGATTGTGTTACTGTGGCAAAAATCAAGTTGACATAACTCTATAGATTTCCACTGGATTAGCAGACAAACAAGGCAATTTAACTGATAAGTTTAAAACTGAAGAATCATCACATTTTCTCTCTACCTATCGCCAAAGAAAGGACCCTTTCGAATTGCTGCACTGGGAACATTACGCAGGAGCAAGACTGAATCAGCACAGATCACAGGTAAAGAGGCCCCTACAGGTATGCAGAGGCCTTATGTCTAAAAGCTACAAGGAGCTGACAGCACTGAAGGAGGATATCAAAGCCACTCCCTAAAACATCCCAGGACATGTGGTTCTCGGAATTGGGTGGTTTCAAGATGACGCATGGTAATGAAAAAGCACCGCATTTCTGCCCTGCTAATGCAGAGCATGTCTTAGTCCAGCATGTGGAACCTTCCTTTTTCCATTAGGACATGAATTATCTGCTGCAGGAACCCTGTTCTAGAACTGTGGAGGTAGACTCTGTGGCACCTAATCATTCCTTGTGAGGCAGTAGTATGGGTTCTCGCAAGGTCATGCTTATGAAGTGCTACTCCATATGCACACTGTATAATGTAGAGCTGGTTAATAAAAAACAGCAACTGTTGCTGCTGTTGAAACTCCATTTAACCACTCATTAAAAGCATGCAAGTGAAAAATCTTTTTGCAATGGGTATCGCTGAGATGTTACATGTGCATCTTTACAGTTCCACTCTCCACAAGCAGTTCATAAACACCATTACTGATAAAAACAACAATAAAGGATTCTCAAGTCAGGAGTCCAGTGTCAAGTTAACCAGTACAGTACTTTAAAGTAATTGTGGTCATAATAAACAACATTTATTTAAAAGATTGTTTCTGAGGTATAAAGCTTGCCTCAGGAAATGTCATGCCCATTTTGAAATTCATTACTTTAATTGCATATAATTCGTGAAATTAATTACTTTAATGACAATGCCCACCAGTCTTTCCAGGGCGCTCCTCATGAATATCATGTGTTTATACTTGAAAACATGGTGTCACAGCCTGTTCCAAGACACTGACTGTATCACAGCCTAGGTTTTGAAACCTGAAGGACCCATCCATCATCTTACAAGGCTAAAAAAATAGAATATAAATAATTTAAAAAATGCAAAACATAGGAGGGGACCATTTGGCATGGAAGACAGGAGAAATGATTATTAAAAAGTCATGAAGAAATGGTTCATTTAATTCCACATACCAAAAACAAGAGGAGATTCCCTGGAGGTTTACAGAACATTTAAAGATGCAGAAAGGCTTCAGGTTTTAAGGCTGTGGGGTGGGGGTGTTAGTCCTCAGGTTCCTCCCCCTGCCTCCCTCGAGGTCAAATAAACTCTTGACCCTTGTTGAGATGGTGTTTAGATGATTCCAAGGGCAGGCCTCTAAAAGCCTCTCCCTTTGTCCATTACTGCTGCAGAGCCACACTACAGGGCCAGAGCATGGCTCTTTCGCCCGTCCACAGGCTTAATGGGCTCTTAGAGCTCACCCCTGGCTTCCAATCGCTCTTAAGTCAGTCAGAGGCTACGCCTGAACAGCGCCTGAAGCTCGTCTTGTAAGATTGAAAGGTTTTTCTCTGGGGGGTGAGAAGTGTGAAACTGAAGAATGAACAAGGCTGATATCTGGTCAGGGCTTGAGCATCGTTTTGGACAAACCACAAAAAAGTTGAAGTCTTCATGAAGTTTGGGTCCTTTTAGACCGATCTTAAACAGAGCTGCAATGCCATCTGAAGTCCGAGCTTAGGTGGCACTGGGGTCATCATTGTTATAGGGAAAAATTAGTCTTTCATGCTTCACCATCAGCTACTGCTGTTGTCTCTTGCTTTTCTCTGGGCAAGGCAATCAAAAGGTTGTTATACGTTATGATAACAAAACAGAACAGTTGAAACACAAACCTTGATGTTCAAGCAGTACCTTCACTGCACTTTCAATGTTTTCAGAAGAGGGATTTTTTTTACCAGTTGATTTTGCCTTCAGCTTATGGCTGTATGCCTTTCTTTCCGGGAACAGAAACCATGAATTGATAACCTCAGCAAAGAGTAAACAGCCAAACGTAGACAGGCCAAAATGCCGTCTCTGAAACTCCCCCCCAAGAATTAGCATTCCAGGAAACCACTTCAGCCTTTCCTGACGCAGGAAGAAGCAGCACAGAATTTTAACACTCTACTGCCAAACAAAAGTAAACCAAATCAAGAGAAGGAAAGGACGCCAGCCTTTTACCGAGACCAGATCTCTGGCTTAAAACCCAAGGTGGGCATACACGTAACGCATCATCCCGCCATGTCTAGAAGCCCTTCCCTTCTAAAACCCTTTACTACAAGTCTCTCCTGCTACCGGTACCCTGACGAGCTGTACGCAACGCTGAGTGGATGGGAGTTCGGAGCCATGGAGCCCCAGCGTTAGAGGAATGGCAGGTGGGGGTTCAAGGAGGTACAGTACAGCGGTTAAGAAGATTAAAGAGTGGACGGCCATGGCGCCCAGGAAAGGTGAGGGCTGCAGGCCACGTGACCCCGTACAGCTTGCGGTGTGCCAGGCCTGGGAGGAAGAATGGCTCAGTGTTGCAGAATGACCTAGTTTTAACAGCAGATGTGGGGAGGCAGAGGCAATGCCGGAGCCGTTGATAGGAAGACCACTGCAGGTTAAGGAGGCGGGGGAGAGGAACAGGCTTGTGAAGGGAGAGGGATGCTTTCCAGGCATTCATGACTGCTGTGTGCCCTGTGCAGGGAAGCCACGTACGAGGTCAGAGGAAGTCTCTCGGCTGCAGGTGAATAAATCCACTCCAGATTTGACCCTTCCCGGTAGCAAGGCTGTAATTCACAGGGAAGAGGGTCATTTCAGACACACGATCGTGTCCTCTGTTAACATACCAGTTGATACCTAACCTGTTAAATGGTCTGTCTTTCACAGTAGTTGCAAAAGCTCCAGTCTTTAATGACATTACCCTTCAGTAAGCAATCATCTCTGCAAAAAGCCTTTGTATTGGGAGACTTTTGCAGCCAACTTAATATATTTGACAGAATTCTTATGTCATTTATGCATGAGGGAGGACTGAAATCATGTGCATTTCATAGAATTAACCATGAATGTTTATGCCTAAAATTTTTGAATCTCTAAATGTTAATCAATTGTGCTCGTCACTGTGACTCACAGCCGAGCCTGTGTTTGCCCTTCCTGCCACTACATACTTGGGTGTTAAACTACCTATGCAAGGTGATATTTTCAATTCTTCTGATTCACACAACCCCTAAACCACAGATCAGGATTAGACCGATTACACTGATTATGAACAATAAGTGTTAAACAAGCTTTTTCCTCCAGTGTTGCATAATGTTGACGAAAGCTTTTTTTTTTATTTCTTCCATCCCTCTGTAACAAGTAATCCAAGTTCATTGAAACAGAAATCCAAGCGCTTCTCCCTTTTTGAGAATTTAATCCATACAGCGCTTTGTCTTTCATTGAACTGTCAAGATTGGAATGTAGGGCTCCGCTTCTTTGACAGTAATTCTAGAAAAGGGTCTCATGGACAGTGTATAAGGCTCAATGAGATAATTCTCTTCCTAGCTGCTCATCCCGAGATCTGGAGCCTTTTTTAATATTGAAACCTTGGGAAGAAAAACACACGAGGCGTGCATCATGAAATACGAGAGCTTATTCTAACACAAACCCTCCACCTCTTGAAGGAAACTCATGAGATATTTGAGAATGTGTTGAGCTTCTAATGTGAACACTAGTGCAGGTTAATAAAAAGTCTGTGCTCTCCATCCTAGTTTTCTTTCAAAGCTGCAGCTCTCGGCCCATTTGAAGCTTTTCGCCAAGACGTCTGCACGGTGTCTTTTGTCTTTCCATTGTTACACCATGCACTTGGCCCAGTTCCCCGTACATCGTTTGTCATTCCATTCGTGTTTAAAATACAGTTACCAGGATTTTGAAGAGCTATTATACTTAACTAAATGACTCTGCTTATATCACAGTAAATTGCTGGGAACTTCTACAAGGTAAAGTAAAACCATCAGCAGCAATAGTTTTTATCCAGCACAAACCAGTGTCTACAGGATGTCACTAATCACACTAATGCAGAGGGCTTTGGCC